ATCGCGAATATTCGCATACGAATGGATGAAATGTTGTTACTTTTTATTGTTAAATGATAATTATACGACGATTATGAAGATTTTCTGATACTTGTTTTAATTTCCCATGCTATAATAAAAGCATAATTTATTAAGGTGATTTTATGCGTGAATCCATACCTACACATAGTTGTTATCTTTTTAATAAATATAAAAATAACCGACTTAATGAATACTACGCGGTTATTTATAATAGCATACATTTTAATAATTAATCTTTTTGCTTTATGCAATTTTTTGTCGGGTAACGCAAAACAATATTAAACACCTAGGTATGTAGTCTAGATTGTATATGAATACAGTTATTTATAAAAAACTAGATTGCTAAGTGTGCAAGCCGCCAAAATAGATAATTGAAGTTATCATTTTTCGCCATCTTTGTGGGAAGTAGAACCTTATCACATCAAAATATGTTTATAGCAATTATAAACAAAGTTGATAACACAGAATCACAGATGTATTTACACAAAAATACATAAATTCCACAAAAATGGCGGACGTCGACTTGAATTCTTATCACTAGTAAGCAATCTAGTTTATTATATATCGACGCCCCGTACGGAAAGTAGCACCGTTCGTGAGTTCTTACGAAAACTAGCACCGTTCAAGTTTTTACGAAGACTAGTACCGTTCGTGCTATTTGTGCCATTGACGCCAACGGTGCTAAGTTTTCTAAGAAATTCGCGAACGGTGCTACTTTTCGTAAGAAGTTCCGTGTTAGTTTTCGCTAAAACTTGAACGGTGGTACTTTTCGTACGACGCGTCGATATTATATCGGTTTTTTCTTAAAATAATTAAATTCAAGTAGAAATATAATATTAATTTTACGCTATACATACATTTATTATAAATTTGATGTACAAACAGAGAGACCAAGGAATTGAAATAAAATTATGAAAAATTAGAGAAATATTTTAGTTTTTGGAGCCGAATCACAGAATAGATGAAAGCAGAAGGGTCACTTAAATGTAAACAAAAAAGTGACGGCCGCGGGCCATGTTCCAAATAATATGCTATAGAGTATAGTCGTAACTCATAATAAGTTAAATCTATATACAACTAAAAATAATAATGTATAGATATAATTTATTATGGTTATAGCATATTTAGAAGATGGCTAGCGCGTTTTTGTGTGATAAGTATCTTTACCGTGTTAATTTTTATCAGTGTCCACCTTTTGGTCAAATTATGTAAATATTAACACACGAGTGTGGTGCTTTCTAACCTAATTTCTAAAAACAACCCATTCTAATTTTAACCGTACTCTAAAACGCGTGGTATGACAATAACTTTGAAACAGATATATATTTTTCAATACTTGCCTAATATATCGATCGAAGTACATTTTTAATTTTCGTTTTCAATGTTATTATAAATATCATTAAAATCTTTAAAATTTGGCCATTTTTCACGTAGAAATAGTTAATCAACTTAAAATAATTTTAAAATTGTGCCACGATCTATACTTTGTAAATGTTTTGAAGAATATAAATGTTTTTTCAAAACTCAAATCGTATTATTTTAAAGAACTTTCTGTTCGAAATAAAAACATATATTTATATTATTTCATAATTTACTTATAATTATTTGTTATTCATACGATAAGATATGGTACGAGATCAAACGACCCGTATAAAGAATGCACAAAGATATATTTATATACGTTTAAATTTGAATTCAAATAGTGTCACAGTCAAACGCTGAATGTTTGGACGGTAATCCTTTTAAGCTATTATAAAAGTACAGTATTTACAACGGAAGAAAGCAACTTGGGCTTAGATGTTCTTCGCTTACCCAAATAAAGTGTCATGCATACCACGTGATCAGTTCATTGGGGATTTATTTATTTTCGTACTATGAAAATAATGGGTGGCGATGGGCCAATATTGAAATATTTTGGTTACTTTTTAAAATAGCTGAACCGCATTTATTTTGCTTCCTATAAGGACTTGAAATAGGTATGACGCTTCGTAGATATTTCAATTAAAAAAAAAAATTTTAAGAGGAAAATTTACAAAGCAGCATTTTACCGATTTTTTAAAATTTTAATTCTATGTTGAGATAAAGAAAAGTTTAAATTTAAACACTCTATGATATGTTTTCTGTAATCCCTTATCCCCCAATTATTTTCACCACAAAAAAACCTTAAACTCCTATTTAAAATGTTCTACTTCGACAATTACACCTTAAAGTAAATAAATCAATGTAAATAATTATAATAGTAATAATAATAAAAATAATTATAATTATAATATTATTTTATATATTATGTATTCTATTGCAACTATTAGTGTTAAAACTATTACAGTTTACCAATTAAATGAATGCATCATATTATGTAATTGGTAATAATGATAAGTAATTATTTAATTACAGATTGAACTGATGTATGTATTGTTAGACAATTTGTCTTACAATAACACGTCTTATCTTGAACACTTGTTTGATTAACTAAAAAAATAATACCTCCTCAACCATTAAGTGTCAAAGCTAACACGTTTAGTTACTAATTCTATGTTTGTCAATCTAGAATTTTCCCAAATAATTAAAGTCAGCTTATTATATAGTTAAGTTAAAAATAACATTTTCTACTGGGAATCGAAAATAACATTTTTTACTTATTAGTATCAACTGGTCTGCCTTTCATCTAATTTAATCCAAATAAATATTTTAAAAAATGTATAGTCTGAGCGCACGGCAGTGCCAAGTTCTAGCAATGCCAGTGTATCTTTACACGAACCAATTCACCCAGTATTTCTAACCCACATATCTCTGTTTCCTCTTGAGATAAGCCTTTGAAATTTGAAACATAATTTAACTCAAGTAGCTTAGGATACTGTAAACAAATTGAGTCCTTAATAGTAAACCTTTTCAAAAGGGGAGAATTTCAAAGTTTTCATTTTTGTTCTCACTCAGAAACGTGAAGTTTGGCACAAAGGTAGGTCTTATAATGTAACTAAAGGGAAAAATCTGAAATTTGCAATTTTTTCAAAATGAATGCCGTTTAAGGGAGTTTAGTTCTAAATGCATGATGTGACGCGCATGAATAGATTAGCACGGGTTTTTAATAATAAATTACAGATTCTCGCGCCATCGAAACAAACGTTCTCTTTCATTGTTATAATATGGCAATAAGCAATTGTATGTAATTAACAGTAAAAACGTATCAAACATAACGTTTTCGTAATTTTATTGTACTTTATATTATTTATTGGTCATGAAATACAGAATATTTTAATAATCGTAATAATATTTCATGAGCAACACTGATCTTTTATTTGTATTACTTAACGCTTGGCCAGTTTCTGAATGAAGCATAAATGTACTCACTTAGGAGTTACGTGGGTGATAGGAAGGAGATAACTCAGCCAATAAGCCATAAGTCAGCCATTCGAAGTAGTGGTATCTACATTGCGGCCAAGTCTGTTTTATGTCTTATTCAGAAACTGGCCAAATGTTAAGCAATACAAATAAAAGATCAGTGGTGCTCATGAAAGTAGCAGTGAAGTAAGGTTATGAACTAAAGAAATAGAAGACTTGGCCACAATGTAGATATCACTACTTTGATAGGCTGACTTTTTGAGAGGTGGTCTAGAAATTGGCCCTTTTCACTGTCAGGTTTTTGTTGGAGATTATATTTACAATAGAATAACTGCGATGTAGTACTATAAGTATAATAATATTTGGTTGCAGCCAAAAACCGCATACATATGATTTCAACCCCAAAAAGGTCAGTGGACGAAAATCGCACTTATATTGGGTAAAAAGAGGTGCAAGAGGTACGTAATAAATGTAAATGCAAGGCTTCTAATGACATTCATGAGACACCGCAAAAAATAATACTCAAAGAGATGTCATCCATAGAAAATAATACAATAATAGGAAGTAATGGCGTAAGCTTAATCAGGAAATTCAAAATATTGTCCGTCCAATTGAAAAACAAGTTAATTAATAAGCACATTGTAATATTTTTAATACATCATTTTGAATAAAATTGAGTTTCTTTTTAGGAATACTTGTTTAAATGTTGTGAAGAATTTTTAAGGACGGAGATCGTTTGAAATTTCTAATAAACGTCAGCAATCGATTTCAGCCAATAAAATGTTGATAATTTTTTTTCAAATTTTAAATCTTAAATTTTTTTAAATATAAATTGTACCTAAAAAATGTTTTTTGAATAAATATATAAATAATAAATAATAGTTTATACATCATTATAAAATGTGCGGTTTTTGGATACAGCAATTTTAAAAAGTGTGCGGTTTTGCCCTGTATTTTATCACAAGTGTGCGGTTTTTGGAGTCAACGTAATATTTAACCCGAAGAAAGTGACTATTATGATATAAATGTAAGCGGTGTGGAGTCTCAGCTGATGCGTGAAGGGACCAACAAATTATCATACATGTTTTTTTTATAAACACACGAAAAGTAGCATTTATAATTATTTGAGTTGAAAAGTTTTTAATTGCTTAATTTAAACAGAAAAGTGCTCATAATTTCTGATTTTACATTTATACGATTGTATAGTAGCTCTGGAAATGATGATGTAATGAACAGTTTACATAGTCGTTTTTGACCACATCTGTTCCTAATATAAAATTAGGTAAGTAGTGCGGTGTAGATAATTTCAGGAAATTTCAACAGAAGTTTTAATTAAAAGCATTTATTGGCTCATCAATTATTAGTTCGTAATATACTTAATAAAACAAAGTTAAGTGTATTCAAGTCGTGTAGGTCGTGTATCTGATAAATAGTGTAATATAACCGTCTCCTGTCTACTTTTTCCCTTCACAAATTGACAATTTATTATTTTAACATTCAAGAATAACGTTTATACATATATACGTTTGTACTAATAAATATTTCACAACTAAATTAAATAATACTAATAATAATAACTAAATCAATAATTTTCAAATGTATCAACATCTTAAGTACAATATTATTAATATAATTTTCAGATAAGTTGTGAAAAAAAACATGAACAGCATCATAATCGATTATGCAGTTTTTTTACTGCTTATTGGCTTATCGTTTGGGGTTATGATATATAGTAAACTATCAGGACCGAAAGAAAGGACGAAAGCCGACTATGTGTTTGCATCCAAAGGATCGGTTTCAATGGGTGCAATATTGCTGTCAATCGCACGTGGATTTTTGGGAGTCAAAGTCTTTCTGGGTAATTATACAAACAAATAACATCGTCATTAGTTATTTGGTACAACGCTAGCATTTAATTTAAAATATTATATTTGTAACTGTACTAAACACAAATCAACAAGAAAAATAGTTACTTGTATATAAATTTGCTCTTATACTTTGTATCATTTTTCCATAACAAATAAAAATATCAGTTAGAATAAACTATCCTAACGATAATTATTTATTATTGAAAAATGTCACCCTGTTTTATTTTTTTTAGAAAGAAATTTATATCGTATGGTTTTTATTTAATTGAAAAGAGGTACTAGTTTTTGCATCCCGTGTCGTCATTTCAAATAACGCCCTCTTATCGGTCCCTAATGAAATGTGTAATTATTGTATTTCTTTTTTTAGGATATCCATCAGAATTATTTTATAGAGGAAGTGGAATGTGGGAGACGCTTTACGGAATGGTCCTCGCGTTCCCATTAGTTTTATATTTTTTCCTACCAGTTTATTTTAATCTTGGAATTACTTCAGTTTATCAGGTAAATATATTATTAGACTTTTATTAGCCATCAAATATGTGATAAGCTGTTCTTAAGAGGGCGTCGCACCGCCTATTTTCAAGGAGTAAATATAGGCATCTTTTTACAAAATCTTAATTTAAAGGTTAAAGTGTGATGTGTAATTATTGTTCAATAACTAGGACTCTATTTTGGTAATTAATTTATTTTTTGGACTATCACAGCATCCTTAAAAGCGATTTAAAAATGTGTTTTCATCTCTACATGTTTAAGCAGATTGAAAATAACTCGCTTAATTTTGGTTTTAGAGTAAAAGCACCCATTATAAAATTAAAAGAAAACAATATTCCGGAGGGCAAGGCGGTGCGGTTTTTTCACTATTCCAAGTATAACGTTCAATACATAGTTTAGAAATAACGACTTTTTTAAAAAAAAACCTTCCATCTTGCCCCCTGGAATAAACAATGAATATTGTTTTCTTTTAATTTTATAATGGGTGCTTTTACTCTAAAAACAAAATTAAGCGAGTTATTTTCAGTTGGCGTAAACATGTTTTTACCACTGAAAATCACCGATGCGACGCCCACTTAAGTTATATCTAAATGAACTAACAACGATCGAACACTTTTTGCATAACTTTTAAAGTATCAATATCTATAGTAATTAATCTAAAGCTATCATCTTTATGTTTTTCTTAAATATTCAGCTCTTTCTATTCATTTAATAAGCCGTAGGTACTTAAAATATATGATTATGGAGTTTTTAATTAGGTCAATGATAATACCTACTATAAATTAATAAATTATTGAATTACGTAGACGGATAATTATTAATAAATTATTTTACTAAATAATTTTTTAAAATAGTTAATATTGCGACAAAAAGGACTTATTTACTCAACATACTATATATAATACATATAAATTATAAAGCAATTAGTTATGACATAAATATACACATTTATTAAAATGTATAGATGATCAATAAAATAAAAAGTAGGTAATTATATAATTTAAAATTCTGTGATAGCCATATTACAGGCTTTGGGTAGCAAATTGATGGCGCTTTATAGTATTTTTAGTATTGCTAGTATTAATATTTTCACAACCAAGTTTAATAAGTTAAATATACACTTAGTTAACAATGAAAATTGTATAAAATATTATTTAAGTATATAATGTACATGGTAATTATGATAATAGCAAAATTGAAATATAACATTTATATTATATTATAACTTATTTTATCGTGATGATTTTTTTTTTCAGTATTTAGATATGAGATTCAAATCAACGCTGGTACGAAGGCTGGCTTCTGGAACTTATGTTGTCAGAAGTTTACTTAATCTCGGTGTTACAGTATTCACACCATGTGTGGCCCTTAAAACCGTGATGGGATTGCCGTATTGGTTTACAATTACGTCAATATCAATAATTGCCATTGTGTTTACATTATTGGTAAGCAAATATTTAACTATCAAAAACGTTTTTATCTAGCGTGCCTTTGTAAAGTTCACGTTAATTATATCAAACAAATTGTTAATACCATTCGCAATCGGGTGGAAATGTCTAGAACGTACTACTTATTTTTAAATAAAAATGGTTATGAATTATGACTTATGACTGTATTTTTAATTTATAATGGAATAACTCTTATTATTGTCCTATATTTTAAGATAAAACAATATTCAGTACGTCCAGAGGTCATAAAGCATAAACTTTCAAGTGTGTATTTACTGAAGTTTTTTTTTGTAGTCGGTATAACTAAATTGTAAAAGTTGTAAAAACACTCGAAAACAAAATTAACACACTTCGTATTATCATGCATAACGACAAAGATTAAAAAACACACGTCGGCGGTTTTTTATGTAATATATGTATGTATGTCTCAATAAAAAATGCTTATAATACGCATAATATGCATTGTCTTAACAACAATGACTGCTTTAGTTCTCCAAGAAAAACGATTTAATAAAAACACATATTGAGTTCATTAGACTTTAATACGGGTTTGTACATAAGCTTATTGTTCTTGCCATAAATTAAACATCAAATATCATATAAGTTACTAGTATTTTAAACCAGGTAATCGGAAAAAAAATATATTGTTCCGGGTTACTACATTTTGACCACGAACAATGTTTCATCAAGTTCGGAATGGGGTAATCCGGAACAAATAGTGTTCCCATACATTTTTTCGGGACACTATTGTATTGTCCGATTCCCGGTTTTATACCTCTAAATCTTATAAAATGTATAATAATTACTTTTTTTTAAGAAAAGACACAGAAAGGCGAAACTGTTTCTCACATTACTTATCCTCACTAGCCTGTGAGTATTCTTGTATCCTTACAACTTCCTTACTTCTTCATTTGGTTAGAGACTTCTAGGAACATTTCTATTTTAAGCCTGCATAAAACGTCTTCAATTTCTTCGGGAATGGGTAACATCGTACCTTGTTAGTAACTCTATATCTCTGTTTTGTGTCCAAACATACAAATAATGCCTGTTATTAGCCTATAGTTTACCGGCCAAAACTAGGCCAAAACTGAGTGCTGCCGACATCATAATGCTAAAAAATATTGAAATCGCAATCATTTAAATTTTTACGCTATTTCTCATAGTATAAAATAAAAAATCAATACGGTGGGGTCAAGGCATAGTGGTGAACGAGTATATTGAGGTAGAGGAAGTCACAGGTCTTCAAAAATTATAATAATTGGAAGAGATAAAATCACTTTCTTCTCAACACTTTTGTGCTAATCCAGCTAATCTGTGGGTAGTAAAAATATTAAACATTTGTAAAAGCAATAATGTGCTTAATTTTTTTATTTTTAGCAATAGAGTGAATACGATTTAGGTTATTTGCCTGTTTATAATAATTTGTTACCATTATTACATGTCATTGCTTATAATATATATTATTGAAAAAATTTCCACTATAAATATTTACTTTTTTATTGTTTTTAGGGAGGGCTCAGATCGGCCATACTGGCCGACGCCGTTCAAAGTCTGGTTATGATCGGTTGCAGTGTCATAATCATCTTACAAGGTTTTTACATTGCCAAGGGACCCATCAACGTGTTCGACGTGAACAAATCTCGAGGTCGACTCGACTTTTTCAAGTAAGCTTAAGTTTTTTAAGAACCGCGTGTAGAAGTGTTTGTGAGGTATTTAGTTGTAAACTGTCGCCTTCGATTAGAGGTGACATTAATATAGCTATAGAATACATAGGATGTGTCGCAGTACACAAAAATTTAAGTAATGAGTCCTAAAACTGTGTCAAACTTGTCTACGTTTTTCTGAATTTCGATTTTTATGGGTACTTACGGATGGTATTTTTATTAATTTCAATAAAGAATATAATATATTCAAATAAATATATTATGTTTTAATTGTATTAAGTTATTAAAATATATGTAATTTTTATATAACTTACCGCTGTTATATGACACATCTAATATTCTATTTTTAGCCATTTCAGCTACAAAATCGGGACATTTAACCGTGTAAATGTTGAAAATGTTTGTTTTCACCATAGATCACAGGGATGAGGAGTTTAAAGTCTAAAATTATTATAGCCTAGAATGGCGATTAAGTTAGAACCCTTCAATCGAAGTTACCCTTGAGAAACCCGGTAGACAAGTTTAGTCTTAATCGCCAAAGTGGACATCTAAATATCAATTCAACTATGCTTTGGAAAATAGAATAATTGTACATAGAATTATAACGACATTGTATTTTGCTCATCTACAGTTTCGACATGGATCCGACGTTGCGCGTCTCCACCGTGTCAGCCACCCTCGGTCAACTGTTCATGTCCTTATCCATGTTCGGTTGTCAGCAGAACTTTGTCCAGCGCTACTTCAGCATGGAGTCGATGAAACAAGTGGAAAAGTAAATCAACAATGGCCATTATAACCGTTATACATATCGATTCAAATCGACAATCGTATATTATGTTTATGTTGGGTTAGGGCATTTCTCCAAATTCATAACGTTTGCCTAGGGCCCTGTGGTTGACCATACCACTCATGGTATTCCTGTTCAGCCTGTCGTGGATAGTGGGCATGGTAATATTCACCGTGTACGCCGACTGCGATCCCCGAGCTTTGGGTTACATTACCGAAATCGACGAGATAGTTGCGTTCTACGTGCGCGACAAGTTCTACTTCATACCGGGTTTCATGGGACTTGTGCTGGCCAGTCTGTTCAACAGCGGTCTCAGGTATGTCACCTCAAAGTACTGCACTGACCGTATATTTTATTACACGCGTACCGCCCCAACAGTAGTAAGTCTAGCACAATTCACACACTTTATAACTAATTGATTTTATTGGCAGTCTGTTCGTTTCCAACTTGAACTCAATATCGACCGTCGTCTGGGAAGATTTCGTCTCTCAGATACCTTTTTTCAAACGGATCAGTGAAACCAAACAGTTGTGGTGCATAAAAGGCATAAGTGAGTGTCGGTAAAATTATAATGCATATTATATTAATTATAAATAGATATAAACAGGGAGTACCGTTGTGTACACGAGCTTTAAAAGGTAACATGTGAGTTTTATTTGATATTAGGTATTATGTCTTTTTTTATGGACATATATTTTTGTGTTTTATGTTAAAATTTGTTTGACATTTTTAGGACCTTTGTTTTTTTATACCCACAATATAAGTTTTGATCTGCATTCTCACACATTTCCAATTCTATTTTTATTTTGGTCCCTATAGATTTTATCAAATTAAACGTTTATACTATAATAATATATTCAACGGTTAACTTTTATGATTCGATAACAATATTCACGCTTAATCATTTATTATTAACTATGTTTTTACATAGTTGCGTGGTATGTTAAACCTATTATTACAATGCTTGTATATAATTATAATAATTACACTCAGTTAAAATGGTTTTGAGATAAAATAATATAAATTAAATATAACGGTTTACAGTAACTTAATATCTAAATCTCACTAAATTGTCCAACACATATACAGTGTGTCTAAAATTTAAATGTTGAAATATGTCAGAAGATTTTAGAAATTATTTGTTACCAGAAATGAAAAATTTTTAGCGGTTTTAACTCCGCGTGGGCATTTGTACGGAGAGAGAAAATAATGTAATTACTGTAATTAAACAAAGTGATCAATATTTCGTAATATATATATATATATATATATATATATATATATATATATATATATAGAGAGAGAGAGAGAGAGTGATCATATTCTATTATGTGTAATTATTCTATTATGAGCCTATTATAGGTAAAACAACAAAAATTGGGACATTTCTTTAAATTCACGCCAATTATAAAAAAAAAACAGCTATACTACATTTTTAGCTGTAATATATCTCCATAATCATTTTAACAAGTTTTGATATTGAATCTATGACACCCTGTATAATACATTATCCATCGTATTAGTCATTTAGTAATTGTTTATTGCAAAACAGCACACTAGTAAATCTATCGTTATTGCAATTTTGTTGCTAAATTTAATATAATATACAATACATGGCAAAAATAATGAAGATCTCCATATGAACACATTATACATAATATAGGGTGTTAAGAAACTATACTCCCGCAAAAAAAATTAAAAAATTTAGGAATAGTTTTGTAAAACATGTATTGAACCAAGTTCACTTCCAACAAAAAGAAAGTAATTTCAGGAATTTGCAAAAGTGAGATTGCGGCTTTTTATAGATATAAATATGTATACAATGTTTTCTGTATTATAATATTTGATCATATGTCAACATTTAGATCCACTAAAGATCCTAATTATGTCCTATTATTAAAGTCCTAATTATGCATAAATAAATGACACTTTGATAATGCATTTAACGTAAAAAATATTATGTTTAAACTGGTAACTGTATAATATTTTTGTTAGGTGTTTGGTTAAGACATCAGAAGTTTTTAATAATATCATAGATTTATAATTATACACTATAATTAATTAAATTGTATGAACCATATACTAATATTAAGAGAATATTAAAAAGTTCCTTCTAAAGTCTTAGTTAAACACTTAATAAGTATTTTATACAATTATTTTTAATTTCTAAAATATTTATATAAAGTTTATCGCATACAAATACAAAATTAATTAGTTATAAAATTATATATCAATTGAAAAACAGTTTTTTTTTTTAAAATGTAAAATTCTTCCATTATATAGGTGCTTTGTGCGGAGTGTGTGTGATGGGCATAGCGTTCCTAGTAGCGCAGTCTTCGGGTGTTATAGACGCTTCACAGTTAATGACATCGGCGACTAGCGGGCCACTTCTAGGAGTCTTCATTTTAGCAATGTTTTTCCCTTCCACCAACTGGAAAGTAAGATACTTATAACAATAGTTAACTTAAATATTCCTGTCGTACCTTTGCGTCGAAACGAACATTTGTGCTCAATAATGACCCACGAAATTTGTCGATGATTAAACTTACTATAGTTGTGTCTCGTAATCCTTTTTTTTTGTGCTAAAATAGAACCACCTTGTTTGATAATTAATTAATTGTTTTGTACTATAATTAACGGAGCAACGTATGAAATGTTGAATGTTCAAACATCGTAACCAATAAAATACTCCGTGATATCGCCGTTTTCGCTAACTATATTTAAATTAAAAATGTTGACCCGTATCAGCAAAATTTGTATTATATTATATTTCATATGTGTGCCCGTCTTGCAGGGTGCTGCGACCGGAATGATAGTCAGTCACATAACCACGTTCATAATCATTTGTGGGGCATTCTCTGTGCCCACCGAAATTGAGTACTTGCCGGTGTCTATAGAAGGATGTACTAACACGACATTCTCGTCACACGTATTGCCACCATTCGACGAACAGTTTAATATATACAAAAGCTACAGTTTGATCAACAAGACAGCCGAAATGGTTAGTAATTATGCCCAAAGCTCTCGCCAAACGGAACCCGTCGTCGAACCTGCCTTCCACGAGTACGTATTATTGTCATTATAACAGTAATTATGTATAAATAACAATAATAATATTATTAACAACTAATGAATGGAAAATCGTAAGGCGAAATTATAAAAATGCGAACCCAGAATGGTAAAAGAAGAATATTATGATTTAATTTCTATACAATCATATATTTGTATCCTCACATGACCTCACATTAACAATTAAATATACTGCGATTTGATTAAATGTAATTTTCTCACCATCGTAACTTGTCTTATACAATTTCCGGTTATTATATTATAGTAAATTATTTATTTAATGCTTTAAAAATAACCATATTAATTCAAACAATTTTTTACAAATATTTCAGGAACATTCTAGCCTCCTTGTATTCGATTACTTATATGTACTACTCGTTGTTGGGCACGTTTGTCACAGTGTTCGTTGGTATATTGGTCAGCTACGTGACAGGTAAACAATCATTTAATAGTAATTATATCCGAATCAATTGATTCCCATGTAAAATAATCATAATGTGTGCTATTGCTAAGAATTATTATTTAACACTACGTTACTATTATTATTTTTGTATTTATTTTGTTTGTATATATAGTTTTTTTTATTTGACGATTTGACAATTTTTATACAAAACGACTTAAAATATTATGGTTGAAACAGTCATTATATATTATAATTTCTATATATTATAATATATACGTTAATTTATATTGATATAAATTAATTGTTGTCATAAACACAAACTGACTGATAAAAACTGTATAATATATACCTAATACGATCTTGAACTTAAAAATATTGAACATCTTTCAAAGCTACTAGTTCCGGACCTATAACTTAAAGAATTTATTGTTAACATAGTTTCAAGGTCAGCAGTTTTTGCTAAGCTCGTGTATCTTTTTCTCAAAAAAAAAAAATTTATATAACGGAGTACTCCCTGGCTCCCTTTTTGGCCAAACCAACAATAAACGTTTTATTTAAGGATGGAGTTATATTTTTATTTAAAGTAATAACATGTTATTTAACTTAGATACAAAAAAGTCATACCTGGAAATCCGGTTATTACCAACGCTACAAAGATCACAATTAATTTATTTTCATTCTTATTGAAAAATGTAATAACAATCTGTAAATTTGTATTTCTTTAAAAACCATATTGGCTAAATCAACATTAAACATGATATCTACGAAAAAGTAAACTTTTAAATTCAATGACTTTATGAAAAACTTATTTGAATAGTTACTCCTATACTATACATTTCTACTCTTCTACTAATATAGCAACTACAATTTAAGTGTATGCGAAAAAATTACACTGTATTGGTATTTATGCAATGTAAATATTAGCAAACAAGAATATCATTAAAAATACAAAAAACAGATAATATAATATAAATAAAAATAATTTCTTCTTTAGACAAAACTCTCTAACGAACCTCAAACGCTTTTTGTTCAAAATACTTTTTTGATCAACAAGATGTCCACATTTAAAAAACACAAATACTTTGGTTATGTTTGAGTTTCAACAGGTATTCCCTGGAAGTACCAAATAAAATGATTACAAGATAATCTGAAACTTATTTAAAATCTAAAATTAACCAAGAAGTAAAATATAATTTTTTCTTATATTTTAAAACTGTTGAAAGCTAAAGCTAAGCTAAGAAATTTTAATTTTGAAATAATTAATGTCTACAAATGGAATCGGCCAATATCTTGTTTTGGTGGTACAGTTGTGACCGTTTTATCCCATTAACCAACACAAAACACAATTTGTCTTAAAAAACAATATTTGATAGTACAATTCACACGTTTTACTGGCTTATTCTTAGGTACCTATCGCTATTTTAAATATCACCAATTACGACTTTTGTCATTTCAGGTCGACTAAGTAGATGTGATGAAACGTCATATCCAATTGAACAACAACCTTTATTGTAATTGTTAAGCTTAGGCTTACTCTGTTATTTTTTTATCGATCTTATTCAACCGTTATGTGATTTGAAATACAGTATATTTTACTTTGTTGCGTGACTTTTTAAAGTCACCACGTGTTTTATCAAAAGTTACCTTTTCAGTATTACTATAATTACTTTTATATTGACAAAAGGCATAAGCTAGTCATTTATCATTATCACGCGTTGGGATAGAATTAGCCGACGCTCAAGTTGTGAGTTTGGACTATGATCAACTTGTTTAAAGTGTTAGTTATTCTGAGCCAATTTTTTTTTTAAATAAGCATAAAATAATCATAAACCATATGTCACTGTTTAATTAATAAAAACAAATGCCTTCGAAAGGAACTATTTTAAGTGTTGTACAATCTATAAAATAGTTTAATACTTCAGTACTTAGAAAAAACGTATGCCGTTTATGGTCTATTTTTTGTTTTTCTTTTTTTTTCCATAGGGTATAGCTACAAGTAATTTAGAAGCAAATAAATAACATTTCAATCATAAAATTAATACATTTTAAAAGTAATTGTCTTTAATACAAATAAAACACTTTTCAAACAATAATAATTAATATTTTGTAGTTAAAATATTTTAACATAACAAATTATTCTGGTGTTACATTAAATATATGGATATAATTTGTTATAAAGATCACATTTTAATTATTTACAAGAAAACAACTTACTAAATAAATTCATAAATAAGGCGATATATTCACAGATTACAGTTTCAGTGACTCACTTTTCCGTTAATACAATAATAATGATTTAAATATTTCATCAATATAAATCTTTAAAGTGATCAATTATTAGTATTCTAATTCAACTAAGGTTAAAACTAACGGTTCCACTAACTAGATTTCAACAAACAACATTTTTAAAAATAATTCAATTATTTTACTTGAAACTAGTTAATTTAACAAATAATTTATTATAGGCGGGTAAACGCTTCATAATCAGTAATGTGTTTAATTAATTATAAAATAGATTAATAATACATTTTGGTACTCTAAATAATGCTCTTATTTATACAAAAAAAAGTATTTATACTTTTGAATAACTAAAATGCATACCTAACAAAATCAATTATTATGTTATATATACTATTTTTTTAAGGATAAAAACTATAATATAAAATTAAAAAAAAATTAACTATAAAAAAATAATTTACATTTCAAATGCTTCTTTTCAAAATAATCGACTTCCTTTGTAAAAAAATCAGTTTTAGGAGTAACCAAATTGTACTTATAACAATAAATCCTTAATTCTCAAATGTATAACTATCTATTTCTACGTAATTCGTCAAATTAGACTGTTCTGTGAACTATCAGATAGCCAAATCACATCTTACTTGTTTCATCAGTAACAGTCGACAAATTAAGTATAATCGGGCGTTTTTCAAAAAATAAAACATTTCGTGCTTTCTTAAATTTCATTTAAAAATATTCAATCTTTTAAACACTGTGCATATCTTTTTTGGGTTTCTTAATCAGTTCTTTAATTTTGAATTAAATTTTATATAAATACATATAAGGTCAAAAGGGAAAAAGGACCTATTGTCGCGAGAATCCGAATCGCAGGAGGCCAAACCATTGATCAGGGTGGGAAACATATGAAAAAAAACTATGTTATCTGCTTAAGGGCACTTTATTTTAATTGTTGGTTAAGTTTCATTCTTTAAGTATATAAAATAATATATAAGATAATGTATATAACATTCTAAACTTTAAAGCGTTTTTTCTCAAAAAACTCATTTTCCGAAAGATAAATTCAAATATATATAACTCGGCCAATTTTCTACATAGGATAACGAATTTGGTTCAGAATTTAAAAACCAATAACTCAAACAAAAAATATGATTTTTGCGACAAGAGGTCCGTTTTCTCTTTCCGCATCACTTATACTAAAATAGTATATTATCGTTTTAAGTTAAACAACTAATTGGTTTTATATTAAATTTAAGTGTCAATGAGATAAAAGTATATGACTAGATTCCATTTCTCACTTTTGACATGAATACAAATAAAACATCCTGTTTTAAGATTTGAACTTCTTTAACTATTTCCATGGCGATAGAGTTGTTATTTTATTCAGTAGGTATCTAGTAGCTATTAATTTCTTACAAATCAGTATTAATATAGCGCAATCTCAAGTCCCCATCAACTTATTCAATAAATACTTACTGGTTACTCTTGGGTAATATTACGGTAGAGATTAAGCCTTGCCCCCATCTAAAGATAGTGATTTGTTTGATTTTAATAATAATAACCCAATAATTACTGTCTTACTTTTATTTCATTGCTTCGATCAAATAGTTTAAGAAAATATAAATCATAAACTGGTGTTTGTTTCTTTATATTTAACACAATTCTGATTTTTCACCATAATACAAATTTAGTACAAAATAAAATATATAATATCTTATTTTAAATTACTTGTAGATACAGTAAACCGGTTGTGTGCATAGTTTCCGTCCTTGGTCAGTAGAATGACCGAAATGTGAACCTATACTTACAAGTACCAGTACTTACCTGTTGGCTGTTAGTCGTTATTCGGTATGGTTTTATCACTTTATATCTACTGAATTAGGCTTTAATTTAAATAGGCATCACATAGATAACAATATAATTTGTAGACAAATACATTTTCCAAAGTATATAATTCTTTTTTAAATATTGTAGCTTTTATTTAGTTTCAGAATATTATGTCAAACAGGATTTATCGATCGAATATACTATTCAGATATATTTATATGATATATAGATACGGTCGTATAAATTAAGAATTACTTAACTCAATTCCCGTATTAATCAGTTATGATATATTTAAATTCGTATCAATCATATTTTATCAACATGATAAACTTATAGATATTTTAGATGATTGACTATTTTAAAGGGAAAAATATAGACAAACCCCATTTTAAACTTTTATTACACATTTTGGTTGACTGTAAATTAATTTGTTTTACACCGCTCATTATACAATAATTTCATTATTACAAATGTATAAAACAAGTCAAACCACATATCCTGTGCGATTTTACAAGCATACCATTTTGGGCTGCACCATTTTCGTGTAGAGATCCCCTATTGGAACTGAAAAAAAATGTATCACACTTGTCCGATTCGAGCCCGTCAGAAAAATATATTTCCTAGAATTTATTGTTCCGGCAATTGTTATTTTCATTTACAAAATATTAGAAAGACAATTATTAGCAAACCAGTTTACATTATAAAAAATTATTTACAGATTGTATTAATTAGTGTTAAAGAAAGGTAAAAACAAATGTCTATATCCATAAATACTATAGTTATGATAAAACCACTGTCAGATTTAAAAACTTCTTTGATTTCACATTGCCAATTTTTATTGTACTGGATTATACTGAGCTTAGTTTTTTTTTTTTTGTAGTTAATTTAAAGTTTTTAAAAAGTATCTAAGAGTCCAAGCATGAGACTTGACCAAGTTGGTTGGTTTTAAAATCGCCCATCTGAAGAAATTATTTGTCGTTTGTGAAAATGTTCAAAAATTTCGTTTAGCCGGTTTTGAAACTAGACGCCTACATACCTGTTTAGTCGAAACGTACTTTAAAAAACAAACAAAGTATTAAAAATAGCTTTATTTCGTAGGCTGAAGCTAAAACAAAACAAATTGACTTAAAAATGATTTGTCACTGATTAAACATCACAAAATGTAAACATACAAATTACTGTTAGAAGTTATTATTAGAAAAAAAATCTTACTTTGTAAACTTCTGTTTATCTAATATAATAAAATACAAATAACTCATTAGTGATTAACCTAAACACTAATAATATCATTAAAATTAACAATAATACAAGTATAGTTTTTAAAATGTTTAAACAATAAAAAATGTAATTCAATAGTTTGTCATTTTTGCAGTATTTTACTTTTATATATTGGTTTTTAGTTATCGCGTTATGAGTGGGCTGCATTGCGCAATAAATGTAATGGAAATTATAATTACCTATAATAAACTCTTTTAATCGTAACTAACTTAAATGGCGTCATCACTTTTATATTTGCCAGTATTTAACATATTAATCAGTGTAAGTGTACTTAAAAAAAAAAATACTATTATGAATTATCGTTATTGTTTTAAATGTCTAAAATAATTTTAATGATAAGAAAAAATGGATTTTTTAAAATTTTAAGAATTCAAAAACAAAAATGATAGATAAAAACCGTAAAAAAGTCACAGCATTTGGTATATTAAATTAGCTGAAAACAAAATAAAAAAATTAACGATTACATTATACTAATATCGGATTGCATTGCTCGTGTCAAATCTCTGTTTTTGGTTTAATTTTTTTTTTTTAATTCGAGAAAAATATATGCATTCCTAATTTTGTTTTAAATTAATATATTTTTTTTTTTATAAATTTGTTACTAAACATTTAGCTGGCCGAATATAGCTATAAATATAAATATAAATAATTCTAGTTGATCCGACTATAATATATTTTTTCCCGTGTAACTTATGTGATGACAATGGATACTTCATTTTATTACTTATTGTTTTATTTTAAAATTTTAACACAAATAGGTAATTATATTTGTCTAATGAAAAAACTTTTTAAGCACACTGAAAGTTACAATAGACAATGACAAAATTATTGAAAAAATAATATGAGCTCCTAAAAATACCAAAATGTTTAAAAACTTAAAAGAAAATACTTACTGTGACACACTGCAACCGTTGTTTCCAATAGGTTATGTTTTTGAGCCAAACACGCTAACGTGCACTGACGATTGCGCCGTGTCTGATATCTATTGTTGGTGAACAACCTTGTTTGCTCGGCTTATCCATTTCACATCCAATAAACTATGTAACTACTTATCGATACTTTCATTAAAGAATACATATACCTACCTACACCTGCTTGCTCGCAACGCAATGTACCAAAAATGCGTGTTACAATAAACGTGACCTGACGAACGTTGGCCTATTAGATCAAATTACATTTTACAATTTTTAATTATTAATCAATACATAAACCAAACAATACACGTTTGGTATATATGTACATTGTGCTTTTGAACAATGTTACAAATTATTGCATTCCTACAGGAAACAAACATTTTATTTACTTCTACTAACGTATACACATACACACACACACAGTGTTAATGATTTTACCTAATTAAAAGTCCAGTAGTTGTTACAAGCCATTTTTTTTTTTATAAAATAAAAATATAAAATTATTTGACAAAATACTATACCCATACACAATATGTGCCGTGTATTTATTATTAGTATTAAGCTAATAATGCGTACGTTGCACTTGTTAAACACAAACCAATCCTAATTAATACAAAAACTGTATTCAACAAAAACAAAACATAAGAAGAAAAAAAACCTAAGCGATTTTAAATATTTACCATTTAAGGAACATTCTAGAGGCCCACTAGGTTTATTCGTTTTATAGCTTTGTTTGCTTTTTTCTCTCCTTTGTTTAATCTAACCGATTCGTTAATGTATAAATAAACTAGAAACATTGATAATTTCGTACTTATCTATATAAATAAGATGCCTCTTACTACAGTCACACGACACACCTTATCACCATAATATTTTCAAGAGCTCCTATCTGGTCATTTCCCCTTTTGGAATTTGAAAATTACCGGGTTCTGATTCATTCTCCCAGAGCTCAAGTGGCCCTCTGAGAGCGATCACTCTCTATCCTTCAGACCCAACGCGTCACTCACTGTACTATATTCAAAGCGAAGACATATAATAGTTGTAGCCTGTAGGTTAGTGTTCTGATGAGTTGAATTTTTCTTGTCGATCTTCTATTCTTACATATTTATAACTATTCCTTTTGTATCAGTTGTAGAATTGTTGAAAACGGTTATGGAACGTTTTTTCGAAAAAGTCAATATCGATGGGGTTATCGGCATAAGTGTTTTGTACTCAGTAGCACTGTACTATAGGTACAAGTCTATCAATCTTACATATTGTGTTTAAACATAACTATTAACAAAATAAAATAAAACAAAAATAATTACCGAAGATATTTATGTTTTAATTTTCTATGCCGATTAAAAAGTCATATATTAACAAAAAATATTAAAAATTTTCTAAAATTGCATTTAATGATTTAAACATCTTCAAATTTATATATTTCTAATGCAAAAATATTTACAAATCTAGAGGTTAAAATGTAATTACAGAAAAGCTGCAATTTTGCGATTTTTAAACGTTTTAACGAAAATTGAGATTTTTTTTGGATATTTACAATAATAGACTGTACATTTTAATAGTTGTTTTAGTTGTGGAGTTATGACTTTATATGAGTTATGGAGTTATAACTTTATGTTAACCTTTGAGTTAGTATTTACATTTTTTTTACCTTTTGTTCCAAGCTTACTTCAAACAATTTTAATTGGCAAAATTCGCTCAAGTATACATTTTTTTTTTTTTAACAATAGATTTGTGGGGCAAAGAAGAGAGAGGCAACGATGATCTACTACATCCTATGAGTTTGAAAGTGAAGGCAATGTGTTCGAGTGAGAAGCAGTGCTACACCGCGGACCAAAAGCAAAACGATAAGTGTACACAGCTGACCACTAGCGACGAGACATTGGCGTCTAAGGAATCGATCAACGTGACCGCAGTCCAACAAAGCGTACCGTAACAACGCATACCAGTGTGTCGAGCCTCGCCTTACCACTAGACCTCGACCAGCATATCGTTTTTGCTCAGCCTTACCATTCCCGGTTATATTGTGCGTTTGTAAATATACGTTGGACAAATATTTAAACGAATTAATTACACAAAAAAACTCTCCGTTAATTATCTATTATTATAATACTAATGTAATTACTAGAAAAAAAAAACTATACCAACAAACAACGAAAAAACCCTAATTGGTACCTATGTTTAAAAATCATACATCAGTATTATTTTAGTAAAACGTTGTTTATTAATTTATCAGTAGCTGTCAGTAGCTGTTGACACAGACCTTTAGATTCGATTCGTTGGATTCCATCTAATTGTGTACTTGTCGATGAGGATTTTCAAATTAGAACTTAAAAAGCGTTTTTAAAGCGATATCTTGTTATTGTGTTGTATATTTTTGATTAATTATTCTTCCCTACATAGTACTTAAAATATATTTCTACAAGGCCGTCATTGTTGACATAAAAAAACAAATAAATATTGTCATTGCGTCTGAGCCAATAATATTATAAATATTTGTTATTTTATATACATGTGATGACAGAGCATAAACTAAACATTTTACTGTATAAATATCGTTATTGGCAAAGAAATCATGATGAGCCTTAATTTGTTTTCACTCGAGCAGTTCCATAATTAAAGCTGTTACATCTATATAGATGTTAATATAAAACAAAATATTAGTTATTGATAGTTGATAGTAATTACGCCTATATACTTATGTAAATATTGTTGTTTTAGTTGCTACAATTAGTAGGATTTTTTTAAGAATTTAGCAGTAGTGAGGTAAAAAACCAAGTGAAACATAGCATAGCTGTACCTACTCATATTTGAGTGGAAAGATAGTGCGAAGATGAGACTAACGATTCTTGAGTTCATTATTTTTTTGAATTAAAAAGTTGATGCGTTTTTGTCAAAAATGTCATTTGTGATTTTAAGGTTAACACCGTTTACTGTTTTTTTCTTTTTGACGGTTTTATGCCACAAATTTGAAAACGAGTTGGTCCAACTTAAACGATTTTATAAACTGATCCGCTTAGTTGTCGGTCGGCCGCGGTTTCCCAAATTACCGTTATAAGATTTGTAATAGTTTTGTTTCAACGAGTATAACGCATAGTGAACTATTGCAATTGTTTTCAGTATTCTTTATAAATAATAATTATATATTTTAATTTAAAAATGTTCATGAAAATGACTATTTTTTATAGAGTATTACTAATCACATACGAATTGTATTATTATTTTTGTAATTATAAAATATAAAATAATATAGTATATTTTATATTTTAATTCGTATGAGTTCTTTGTATAATATAAACAAAAATATATAGTATTAATTATGTGTAGTTTATTTGTTTAACAGTAATCACAACCGTCTAAAACTCATTTATAGTGTTTTTTTGCTTCTTTTACCTTACCACACTTTTGAACTATCTTTTTTGGGCTCGGCAAGCCTTCACTCCTCATCTTGAACTCAACCCGATCACCCAAAACCACCGCACTCAAGCTCTATTTTCCTTTAAACTTGTAGGCTACTTCATCAGTCGACTATTCCTCTAAAAAACGTACCACCTGACTTCTTCAGAAAACATCCGTACTATTGCTACTTAATTATGTTAAGTGACAGATTGCAATTTTTTTAAATCCAAATAAGGACTACCCTAATCAAAATACAGGGTATCCGTGGCTAATTTTTCTGGCCAATCATTAACATTTTTCTAATAAATCATTTTAAAATCAGATTTTGGCAATTATAGTCGTAGTATTTTTATTCTATAATATAATTTTATGATCTAGGCTATCTAGGAAATTCCTATTTTCAGACTGGCCACTCACACACGATACCTTAAACACACACATAAGTCGTATGTCCATTATTTTCAGAATCGTGATTTTGGGTATCCCTGAATTCGTGATAAAAAACTGAATCGAATGAACACCAGTAACATGTCCAAAGAGCATAAATAATTGTTCAACTACAAATAACCGTTAAATTCTATGTCCTTTTTGGATTTTTTTTAAGAGCTCAAGAGTTTAACTCTACCTCAAAACCATATAAAGTGGACACAGCACTTGTGTGCTTTATTATATTCATATTAATTATGCATTTTTATTTAAGACTGTAATCTGTAATCACTATAAGTCCAAGTCATACATTTATCAGCTGTCGAAACGCATCCGTCATTAATACGTTTTACAAAAGCGTTGCAAGTCGCAACAATCATCATCATCACCATCATCATGTAGCCTCACAACTCTGTCATAGTTTTGGCTGCCACTGTCATCGACCTCCAATAATTACGATCCTGGATTCTTTCCTCCCAATCCGTTACTTAAAGTCTCTCTAGATCTTGACGGACTCCATCCATCCATCGTTTCTTGGGTCTGCCTCTGGGTCTTCTTCCTGTAGGTTTGTATTCAATTGACGCCCTAACTTCATTTGTCTCATCTCTTCTCATTGTGTGACCAAACCACTGAATTCTCTGACCCGTCACGTAACTTGTTATAAAAGGTACTTTGGTGATTTCCCTTATTTCCGCGTTTTTTCTTCTACGCCATCTATTTATTGCGGTATCGAACACTGGCCCACATATTGTTCTTAGTACTTTATTCTCAAAGCTTCTAAGCTTTTTGTTCAATTTGCACTGTCATCGGCCATACTTCACATCCATAAGTTAATGTTGGTCTCACTTTTGTTCCTCTAGAGAATAGTTTTGATTTGAAATATTTGATTAGTGCAAAAAAAACCCTTTCCGCTTTGAGTAAGCGACTGGTTATTTCAGCACACCAGTCGTTGTTACTAGTTATTGTTACTCCTAAATACTTGAAGCTCTGGGCTTTCTCGAACACATAGTTATCTGCTAGTTGCAACAATCGTTTAATTAAAATTAGAATTTTTTAAACATTTTCATTAATTTGTATAAGGTTGTACTGAACTAATACTTTTATTTCATTATACTAGTAATATTTAAAGAAAAAAATAGACTAGTTTTTTTCACGAAAAGAAAAACCTTAGTTATGTTATTCATAATTGATTTTTTTTTATTTTGGACAAGTGGGTTTTCAAAAAAAATATGCATTTACTGTAAGTATAAAAACAAACTGGCATTTGTTAAAAAGCCAGTACAGTAGAGTCATGGCATAATTGGGACAGAGCATATTGGGGACGGGGAAGTCACAACTCTTCAGCACATGTGGACTGCAGTTGGTAGTCTTAGACAAAAAAGAAGACATTTAATGGAACCACACGTCGTGCAGGCACTTATTCCGCTCGTATGATTTTTGGAAACGGCTGGGGGCCACCTGGATGCTTATTAGTATTGCTAATAGTAGATTGTAGAAGTAATATCCATAACTAAGTATGTATTCCACGTTAAGAACAGTACTCGACGGCCGACTTGTATGTTGGGCGTGGTCTAATAGCGTAGTCTCCGAGTACAATTATTATTCTTAACTTAAATAGAATATAGACCAGCCGTTCTCACTACCATTTTTTAAAGGGCCAACAATTAATTTTCACGATTATTTGTGGGCTGCAACATTATTTTATTAAACATATCATTTTTATCAACATTATTTTATAAATTGTTAGCATGTTGAAATAATAATTGATTAAAAAGCGATCATACGGAAAATTAAAAAAATGAAATAAAAATATCAGTATTATAAATCCTACATTTCAATAAAACTATTAGGAATAGTTTTTTAAATTAAAATAAGTTTTTTTTTTTAATTGATTAATCTGTAGAACAGAACCTTTGTTTTATCTATGTCTACGGGAATTGGCAATCATAGTTAGTCATCAAATTCAGTGTATAAAAATATATTTGTACAATTATGAACTAGCATTTCAGTGGCTACGTGGCAAATAAATGTTACGATAATCACTATGTACATAATAATATGATGATAATTTATAAATATTATATTTTATTTTAAACATGCATATTTTATGCATACTTAAAAATAAAGTACATTTAGTGATTTACAGCATTTTTTTAACAGTTCCTTAGAACTTTAATTATACAATATATTAATCTTCTTATGAAAGCTATTTCTAATTTTAACTTAATTTTTCAACTGATTTGTTATATATGATTATTATTAATTAATGATTATTGTTTTAATTTTTACTTATATATTATGTTCGCGGGTCTAGCATTTATGATTCCGGATTCGAATTGGACAAATGTAATTAAGTCACAAATCATAGTAGAGCGATCTAGCAGAGTTTCTAGGAACTTCTTATCTATATCTGTGTGGACGTGGCATCGATTTAACCTGGAATCATAGTTACCGCATACCAGTTAAATTGTTACAATAATGATAACAACATATGTTATCAATGTAAGAAGCTTTATCATTTGTTTAATGATATTTTGATTTACATAATATTTTAAAATTCAGAAAACGTTTTGACCATCGAACATATTTTATTGAATTAACTGCGCAGTGAAATTCCTCAAAATGCCCGTAGAAAAAGATTCCAAAGAATATATCCAAGAAGTTTTTCAAGCTATATCGACGAACGATTTTGACAAACTTCAGGATTTATATTCACAACATGCTATGAGTACAGAAATTTTAGACGAACATGGCATGACTCCCTTACAGCATGCTGCCTACAAAGGAAATGAACAAATAGTTAGATGGCTTCTGCACAAAGTAAGTTTATGCTAAATATATTGTTAGGATTTATTAATAATTTTACTTAATAAAGTTGTTGCCTTCAAACAGGGTGCTGATGTCAATTCTGGAAAACACAAATACCAGTATACGGCATTACATTTTGCAGCACTCAGCGGTAATTCTGTTGTGTGTAGTTTATTGCTAGGCGCTGGAGCCAAAAGTGAGGTCACCAATTCGGTCGGTCGCACAGCCTCGCAGATGGGTGCTTTTGTGGGTATGTAATTTTTTTAAGTTTATCATTATTTTGTTAAAAACTTTTAACTACTTAAAGTAATGGCTTGATTTTTTTTTATTAGGCAATCACAATTGTGTAGCTGTCATAGGTAATTATGTACCTGAAGAAGAAGTCATGTGTTATACAATATCTGAGTCGGTTGATAGTGAGCCACAATTGCCACCTGTGTTAGGGCCTCTTGTTCACAAGTTTATCATGATGGTAAAAATTAATAAATAATAATGTTACCTGTATTAATATTTAATATTAATTAGTATGTATCAGTAATTATTATGTCATTTATAGACTAATATACATCCAGTCAAAGTAGCTTTAGACATACCACCAGTCTTTTTGATAGATGATAATGCATCAAAAATTTACAAAGTCTTGAATGTGATGTGTGAGCGTGAAATACAAAAACAACTGGAAACTAATGAAGTAATGGCTTTTAAGTTTCATTATTTAGCTACAATTTTAATTGAAATAGCCAAACACAAGTAATGTATATTGTTTTAGTAAATTTATGCTACACATATTTAATTTTAATAGGCTTAACAATTTATGTATTTCTGTTAAAATTAAGTGATATGAAAGGAGAAAAGCAGTCGGATCCCAAAGAATATTTCATTAAAAAAATACTAAAAAGTGAAAGTTATTTGGAACAATTTCTTAAGGATGCCATTCGAATGTTTCCTTACAGAGATTGTACGATTTTTAGACAGGTAACATTTTGTCGGCTTACAATTTATTTCAGTTGTTAAATAGTTCATGTCATTAAAAAATACTATTATGCTTTGGTTTTTTACTTTAACTTCGTTGTAAAACTTTGTATTTAACCTATTTCATATCTTAAATGAGTAACTACTGGTGAAACTAATTAAGAAGTACCTTTTAATTTAATAATTTTTTAAACGCGTTGACTTATTATTATTACTTTTTTTTAGATGGTCGCCAGTTTGACAAGGGGCAAAGATAGTATGTCGGCTTTAAATGTGGTTTTGGTGATGATTGGTAATAGAAGGGGTATGGGAGTCGACTCATTTGGCGAGGACCGTGTGTGTGGTACATGTGCCGAAACTAATGCTACCAAAAAATGCGCCAAATGCAAGGCTGTGCAATATTGTAACCGCGAATGTCAGCGCATACATTGGTTTGTGCACAAAAAGGAGTGCAACCGCGATGCCAATAGTGGAAACATACAAACTACTATTGATAGTACACATGTGGCTGAAAGTCTGGCTGAACTCGGTGTTAAGTAAAGTCGCCGAGTAGACTATATATAACTAACTTTTTGATTGATTAATATATTGCATACTAAACTTTAATTAGTTTATAAACAATTACTTATTGTATTAACACAAAAAACTGACATTTATTTATCTGTACTTTCCAATTACTTTTAAAATATTTGTTGTAATATAATATTTTAAGCCAACAATTGTAATAATTCATACATGAAATTATCCTCATTAGTCATCAGTTAAACATTGTTCATTGGAGTGGTTTAATAGGACTCCCAAAGTATTTTATAACATTGGAAGAGTTTTAGAGAGAAAAACATTTTTTACAGTACTCATTTGAATTAAACATTTTTAAATGCTGCTTTAAAATAAACTGCAATTAATAAACTTATATGTTTCTCAATGTTTATTTATGTTATCAAGCCTAACTTAAATAAAATATAAGTTTATTCAAATATTGAAAATGAAAAATATATGTTTTTTTTTATAAATATAAAATTGTAATTTTTTTCAAAGTTTTTTGACAAAATAAATTATTGCTTAAATTTTTAATTGTTTCTATATTTTACAACAATACATTTGTACATTTTTGTAGTTAGATATCGATTTTCCAAAATAAAGTTAAGTAATCAAATTTTTTTTAAAAATGCCTTTCACAACAACAAAAATATTCTTAGAATAGAATCCTCTTATTTTGGTTGCAATGCCCTAATCATCTGCACTCACAACACATTTGGTAATCATTGTTGTCAAAAATGTTAAAATGTTGAAATTTTCATTAGAAAAAGTATACCAGTAATTTATTTTTATATTCTATCCGAGCAATAATTTATAGAAAAGACAAGCTTTTGAAATATTATAACATTTATTATACAATGTGTGTATTTAAACAAATAGTTTACATATTTTAACAAGTAATAACCACTTGAATATAGTTAAACAAAATACATTCGACACAGTGATGAAAAATATGTTATATAAGTGTATTTTTATACAATGTGTAATTATTTATTTCAATAACATAATAATCATCATCATAAGGATTGATTTTCAATCAATGCGGTATCGATTGCTTTTTTTATGGTAACGTTGGGTGTCATGGATTTTGAGAGTAACGGCTCGTTAGTGAGTGGACTGGTGATTTTTCCACGGCCAAACCACGAGACTATGGCAGCTCTCTCATAAGTGTATCCGTCTTTTTAAGCACACGATAAAATAAAACATTGTAATATAATAGCTATGTTCCCTTTAAAGTATATTTTAAGTAATACCCGAACATATAACTGGATCTCTGTAGATCTGTTGGGTAATAGGACAAATGAACTCGTCGGGGACGTCTACAGATGCAGCTAATTTCATTAGAGCTAATTCCAGTTGTTGATTGTCAGCACCTACTTATTACAAGCAATCCCACATGCCGCAGATAATAATAATTAAAAGTTATTGGCAACTGCAGTACACTTACTGGAAGAGGAGTTATGGCAAACAAGACTCTTTTCCATTGACGCCTGTGAAAACATTATTAAATAGTTTTTTTAAACAACAGTGTATGCTTACATCGCTATATTATAGAATATAACTAATATTTTAATATGTAAATCATATTTTACTAGGGAACGCGGTATGAACATGTAGAATATAGGCGAATAATCTGACTCGATCATCATGTACTATTTTTTTTTTTTTTTTTTAATGGAAAAATTGGAAAGATTTGTTAATTATTATTGTAATAATTGTCATAATTTTAGATTATGACATTTTATTTTTGAACAAGTTACCGATTTCTTTATTGACAAAGCAACTTCACCTTCCACCGGTAGTTTCCACAAGAACAACGTTTTGTCTAATGATCCTATAACACACAACAATATACCTAAATCATATAAATTATAATTCAGAACTATAATACAATTATTAACATGACCCTGAATTTTATCAAATACAAAATCGGTCTTTTAGCCAGAGGGCACCTTCTTCATTATTCAACCAATCTCTTACCCCGCAATCAACCTTTTCATAGATACTAATTTCATAACATTTAAACAAATTCAACAAAACACAATTTTTAGAAATATCTTTCTTTTTTATTTGACAAAAATGTAGAACTTCTTATTAAAATCTCCACTGCACAGTTGAAACAACAATGTGCCAACATGTTAGCATACATTAGCAACTACCTAACAAAATATTATACAAGTACACATTTGCATGCGATTTACTAAACGGTAATATTATATATTTTGTTTCTTCTTCACGGTAGTAACACTAAATTAAACAAATATACATACAATATTCTAATATACCTGTAGCTAGTATTCGATTATCAGCCGAAAATGAGCAACAAGTGAGTATGGAATTTTTTGGATCGATCACGTGGAGACACTCTCCGGTATCCTTAAGAAAAAAATTAATTAGTTAAAAAATTGTTTTAACAAATACATAAAACGGCGTATTGAATAGGCAATTTAGAACCACGAATGTAAAGAGTATTTGCTCCGTGTATTATTATGGCATCAAAAAATAGTTCACTTCCTATTAAGTTTGTTGGTTCAATATCGTATTATGATTTGTGCTAAGAGCTTAAGTTGTTGAAAATTGTTTTTTTTTAACAAATGCCCCGGGAAATAATCGAACTTAAACTTAAAAAAATTGATTTGAACTCAACCGTTTGCCATATCCTCGCGGTTTTGTCTAACGAGGTGGATGCCAAGTACGCGGTCGTATTCCGAGTAAACTTTGCGCAAGTTATGTCACTGCCGTGGCCGACAAACTTCATTTCAAAATCTATTCTGCTGTCTAACAATCTCCACGTCATCAATACTCCGTCATTGCCGCCAGTAAGTAGAAGCAAGCAATGTTCTGCGGACGGACCTGGTTTTCAAAAAGAGAGAGAAAGAAAAATATAAGCAAAAATGAATGTGAAATAAACACTTAAGGCACAAAAGTATGAACTTTTTCGGGCAAAATGGGCGGTGGTGATGCCGATTTCATGGGCGTTATCCAGTGTGATTGTGCTCGTGCTGGAAACAATGTACTTCTTTGGATGGACCGGCCATATCCTGATGTGACCTTCTACACAACCGGTCATTAAGTACCGCGAATCCGGACTGAACGTCACGCACATTACGTCTTCGCTGTTGCCCGTTAATTTTCTGAAAACCAAATGGCATAATATTTTTTTAACAACGATAATATCATAATAGTTTTGATTGGCGATACTATACTTGGTTCGGCGAGAGAACGCGACCGCGCAGAAACCTAAACGCGTTCCTTCTGGCTGTGCAGGCTCACACTACAGTAATACACTTTGGTTTGTATGCGCAAGTGCGCTCTCTCGCTGAACGGAGTATAAGCTGCACATTGTCATAGAATACAAGTGACTTTGAAAAAGACATCAAAATGTGTCATTATACCCGACGAGTTGTAGAGTTTCCACGTTCCACACGAAAATGATTTCGTTGTCACAAGCGACAGCTATCAGCTCGGACTTTTCGGAAAACGAACAACACCTTGCACCGCCATAGTCGGCGTGCAAAGTGCCTCTTTGTTCAAAGGTCTACAACAAAACATTATAAAAAATAACCACAATTTCCATCAGCTTGGATCAACTTATCAGTCGCACACATCCCATATTACGGATGAAATATCAGTACGATACTCACGCATAGTTCCCAAATAATAGTCATGCCGTCTAGCGAGCACGACGCCATGTATGACGAACAAGGAGAAACGGCAAGGTGTTGCACCGAGTAATGATGAGCTTTTAACGGTGAAGCCTCACATTCTTTCATCTTACCCTCCGGATCGAGACGCCACACTCTGATGAACTTATCGCTAGAAACATACATTTAATTACATACAAAAAATAACAAAAGTTTGGTTAAGAGAAGCTGTGGGCGCCCCTTGTATAAAATCAGAATTTATATATTGTAAATAAAGTATAAGTTTTTCGATTTTAGATTCAAATTGGGTCGCGAAATTACCTTCCTGCTGCCATTATGTATTCATTGTCGGAGCTAAAATCGCACGTATTTATAGAGTTTGTAAAATTATTGAATTTTTCGTGTAAAGTAACTTCTACTTCAACGACACTTCTTGTATTCTGAACGGTATCGAGCTCCTAGAAAGAAAAAAATTATTAATTTAACCATTTATTTAAATTTAATTTTACTGTCATAAATGTATAACTATTGAAAATTGGCACCTCTGAAATGGCGGCTAATGAACTATTGAAATCCAAATTGCCTTTCACGTCCCAAATTATCACCGACTTATCGTTGGACCCTTATGAGAAGGAAAGTGATAGAATTTTAGAATGCTTATTTATATTTTCTTTAAAAATATTACCCGTGACAAACAGTAAACTGTCTTCAGAAAATGCACATGTGTTGATGTAGCGGCTGTGTCCCTCCAACACTGTTAAGCAAATGATATTTTTCGGTTCGACCACCTTAAATGCATATTATTTACGTATAAATTAAAACAGCTCGATGATACTAAATTCATCTTACATCAAAAGGTTTTGACACAAGATTCAATTACGAGTCGAACTTTGCTAGCCGCTTGGCTACCTTATCCCTACTATTCACATTCAAAGGACTACAATTCGAATAAACTTATGATTTAAACTTATATCAAGCCTAAGAAGTATTATTATTATTATTATTATTATATTATTAGATATTGCTTCGATGATAAAAGTGATATTTGCTTTTTAACTTCTTTTATCATATTCTATAATATCTTATTCGCATATTTTCAACAATTCTGTACAAGCAATCAAGTTCATATCTATCACACCCACTGACCTGCCATAAGCGCGTAGTTTTATCCATTGAAGTTGATGCAAACATTGTGCCTTCATGGTTGAAACATACACTTGTCACTGTAGATGAATGACCTTTTAAAGGTTGTATTAATTCTACAACACATTGATGGGAACTAGAACTCATTTTCCATAACACCAGTTGCCAGTGTTTTATCAAGTGGTCATTACCACTCGTCAACACGTTATACATTTTACCCTTATCTGGAAACAACGGTTCAAATAAATGTATACGAGACGCTTAAAATCTAAGAAAAATATTCTATATAGTTTTATAAGGTCCTTTGAACTTTGGAATTGAGGATCCAGGATCCTAATGTCATACAGTAACGAATAAAAGAAAGCACGTCATAAACATTTCTGAGTGTAAAACTATAATTTTGAAATAGTAAAATACAAAATTAGTAGGATTATAAAAATATATATACATATATAAAAGATTGTGTATTATGACCAGATCAAGATTTAATCTGATTCTATTTGGGCTTTCTACTTATAAATTTTGAGTTATGACTAATTGACTTAAATATTAATATTTGTTTTTACAGACTCAAGATGCGGTTACAAAAGTAGTAGGTAGACTCACTTGTAATTGTTGTGATCGGTGAAATTTCGGCTGAGCTCACGCCCATGTCGTGGCAATCAGACAAAACGAACAGAGGAGCTGTCTTGCCGAAGGGGTCAGTCAATTCGCACACAGACCATACTTTAGCCACACCAGTCATGTCACCAGTTATCAACACCCTGGAGTCTTTAGAACAACATACTGTTGATACAGCATCTTCGTGTACCACAAGAGATCTACAAATTTAAAAATATATATCTTGATTCTTGGGCCCATTACAAAAATTATTGTAATCTACTTTTTCAAACACTGCAAAATGTAACAATTGTATGTACAACTATAACACAGATTTTTTTAGAACTAAACCGGTTATATAAACTTCATAAAAACAACAATTAATTTATAATATATGTATGCATATGTTTCAAGCTGTACGGCATGACATATTAAAATATTACATCTAGTATAATTTTTAGTTTTCTATTGATAATTTTAAGGTAAAAACGTAGTATTAGAATACTTAGAAGAATTCGTTGATAACTTTTGAGTTATTACAGCAAAAAAAATATATATATATATAAATACACTATTAACAATAAACTAGTTTATTGAATTATTATACATTATTTTAAATATAATATGTTATATATTTCTGTACATAATATTACGTCAAACCACATATTATAATATTAATTAGATAGGTAGGTACTGTTTTTAAAGAAGGGACGCTAATTTTTTTTTTTATGAAAAACAGTAAGTGGAAGGATAAAATATATGGATTAAAAAAGTTAAGTGATGACATTTTCTTCCTTTCCTCTACGATTTTCGTTGTTTGTATGAGCTTTAAATGGCTACCAACATTTCCGTACGTTTGCCTTTTTGTAATAAAAGAAAATACCTATATAAAAAAATGGATCCGCTCATAAGTATATTAAGGTATATGTTTCGCGAAGTTGACACGCCTTCTTCAAGGTTTAACGCTAGCCCGTAAATTCCTACACCAATACACTATTCATATTTACTAGGTATCTAACATAGTTTTATAAGGATTCAGTTGTAGTTACATTTTTGATCAATTATTCGTCGAAAATATTGAAGTGCAACGGTCTACAGAATATTTTACAAAATATGTTGGACATGAGTACCTAGTAAGTTTTGGTCAGTACACCTCTTAATACGGTTTAGTACCTTACACGTGAAGCGACACAGGTTGACTACCCAAATGTGCACGGGACTCGCGATGGAGTACAAGGACGACAAACGGTACCAAATCCTCAAATCGTTTGATTGTAATAATATGTACAAGTGATACAACAAATAATAAGAATAATAACGTTTTAAGTAGTTTTTTATGTTAACAACGTGATAATAAATATTTTTTTTTTAAAATATAACGGTTGTAACGAATAAACATATTTTGTGTACCAAGTATAATGTGCTCTTTATAGTTTTAGAGAAATAAGTATAACGGACATGAATATAATATGGTTGTATACATATTACGTTAAATATCCGACAATTTTTTTTTACATAATTATTTTAAGGATAATCAAATTTAATAATGTAGATTTTAAATTTAGTACATGCAAGTTTTTTTTTATAAAATTAAAAAAAATTGACTAAAATAATACTTTATAGAATATACAATTGTCAATTATAGTTAAACGTAGATAGGAAGCTTCGATAAAAAAAATACACTTACCTGACCAATGATTTTCTAAACATATCCCAAACACACATAGTTCCATCATCGCCTGCAGATACAAAATATTTAAAATTCGCCGTGAAACATGCTGATTTAACGCCACTGCGACTATTGTGTACAAAGGTATGCACCACTCTACCAGTCTGTAAAAAATGTGGGAAAAAGTCTATATTATACTTTGTACTTAAATACAAAAATTGTTGATTAGCCCTTAATTTTCATAAGAAGAAATTTTCCAGTTTTATAAAGTTTTCTGAACTGTCAACTGAATAGAATTTAATGTTAATTATACTATTACGAATTCGAATTTTATTTTATGGCCTTATTTTTTCAAAACTTATGAAGTTTGTTAAAACTTACATCTGTATCGCACAACGCAGAGTTACCGTCCAGTGAAGAAGTAGCTAAGAGAGTTCCGTCTACATCGAATTGAACGCTGGTGACCATATATTTGTGGTGTGTAAGAGGAGAATATGACATTTCCACAAATCCCTGACTGGCGCACCATTTCCAAACGCTCACTGTTTTATCGCTGAAAAAAAGACACATACATTTTTTTTAAAATTGGTTTAATTCAATTACTTGTTAATGCTTACAATAAACCGAACAACAACAAAAATAAAATAGTAAAATGTTATGTATATATATAATTTTTTTAAAATTATTGTTCGTTTAATATTCATAACAAATTTACAAGTTATTTTATGTTGTATAAATATATCTTTTGTTAATAACAAAATCGCTTTATTGATACTAAATTGAGCAAGGCATATTTTCTGTATTTTTGTTTCATAGTATAATATTTAAATTGACTTTGGCTCTAACCTGGACCCGATGGCCAAATTAAACCGCTTGGAAAAACAGCATTTAGTTACATCGCTGGAGTGTCGACGAAGCGTTTGAATATTGATGGTACCAAGTAGGACGGTCGATGACATGACGGTACGGCGCTAAGCTTGTGACTGCACGAGGGAGCACTCAAAAACGGCACTCGGTGAATTATCGAATATTAATTATTCATACACAACAGTAAAACAAACATGCATTACAAAACTACTTTTAAAAGTACACACTACATCAGAGGGAAATTAAAATGTCAAAAATGAATATTACCTATAATAATTATAATGATAATATTGTACTAAAATAATGTATATTAGGTATCTGAAAATTAAAAAAAAAACGTTAGTAAAGTAGAATAACATAACTTTAAAAAACGTTACAAGAGTGCGTTATACTCCCTATTTATGAAGGAGTTAGGTATAGTCAATTTTTTGTAATATACTAATTTAAAGGTTAAGCTGTGATGTGCAATTATTAGTTAAGTCATTAGGATTCTATTTTTTTTTTGTAGTTAATTTATGTCTTAGACTATATTACAGCAGCCTTGACAACGATTTAAAAACAAAATTTTACCTAAACACAGAAAGCGTTTTACTCGGTCCATAGTGGTTTTAGAGTTAAACACCTACTAAAAAATCGAAAGAGAACGATATTTTGGAGACAATTTTAAATCCTATATGATTTTAATTGTTAAATATTAAGCTAAATATTAGGTTTATCAAAAAAAGAGATTAGTCGTTGTCTCAAAAATATTGTCATCTTTCGTTTTTGTTATAAGAATTTTTGCGTAGGTAGGTTAGGTTATGTTTTAAAGTTAAAAAATTGGGTGTATAACGTTGTCTTAATGCGAATCAGAAAATATCTACCAAGTGAGAACGTATGCAAGTCGTTTGGCAGTGATGATTTAATGACTTTCCAAAAACTTACCTCTAAACCAATGACCGCTTAGAGGTCATTTTTTATTTTATTAATCCGAATTTTTGTATATTAAATACTTTTTAACAATTCTTAGGTATCTTGTATAACTATCATAGCGTGTAGAGTGATATTTTAATATGTTTCGATTGCACGCGACGAGCTATGTATAAAAGGGTTGGTAACAACAGTTAACCCATTTTGTAGGCCATGATGTCGGCAAGTGCAGATGCGCCGAATTGAATTTATCGACCCATTCCTGCATACTTGTCTGGAAATAAAAACCCTCAGATCTAACTGAATGTTGTACTATACCACCCACCCTCGTCTAAATTATTTACTGAATTCACTGCTTACGCTTTATTTTACCAATATAAAACTGCCAGCAAAGTGGAGCCGGGGGTACAGTATACATATTTTTATGGATTTAAGACAAACTTGTAATAAGGTGCTAGAAATATATCTATGAGTGAAATTTTATACAATTTTACAGATTTGTTGATGAGGTTTTGATATTTTTTCGATGTTATTTTTTTTGTTATCCAGAAAATATATCTTATTATATAGCTCTCTACAGAACTTTTAAATATCTACTAGGTATCATATATCTTATGAACCAATTTGTATTATTAGAATTTTAATAGTGGTTAGGGACCGAGCAAATAAATAATTATGTCGGGAAGTTTCTAACAACCTGAGTTGTTCACTCTGGAGTGATAGGATCACGTTAACAAAAACTTCTATGCGAATCTATAAATTGTGTATTAGGATTTTGGTTTTAAAATTAAACGGTTAAATTATGACAAGAGTTTTATAACATCATTTCTTTATAAAATACAACTCTAGAGGTTCATGCCTTAATTATGAATTACCTATAGTTACATTATTGAACTCAAAATAATTGGTAAAGGTATGTAATTTGTATTATATTTTATACTTTAACCTAAGCCACCCGTTATTTTATAAAATACTTAAATTATATATTTTAACGGTAACATAGTATACATACCAAAGAATCACCTTGACCGTCATTCAAAAACTTAAAAAATCAATATACTAGGAAAAAAACAATAAGTGTAAATAATTCAATAGTTGACTTGACTGCCAATGTTTATGTTTTCCGTAGTTTATTGATTATAGTAATGTACGTTCTTCGCTTACATAATACATTTTTCCTCTTTATTGGAACATGATAATAAAAGGCGTAGATATCATTTGTACACAACCCGTCACAAATCAACAGTTATATAATATGACGAAACACGAAAAACTATGGAAAGAATAATCAATGATATATACTATATAGGGTGATCCACTCATCGTGAACCACTCAATATCTCATAGGGTTTAATAAGAAATTACAATTTTTTTTGACATTTTCATGTCTTAGCTCTGGTACATAACCGAAAACAGTTTTTCAGCCGAGTCTGCAACCACGAAAGAGCATTTTCATGTCTCGTTGAAGTACCGAATAAATTTAGAGTAGTGGTGGAATTATAGATAATGATATAGTATATCAACGAGCGGTAACAAGCTAGTATAATAAAACGTCAAGTTTCTGGCTAAAATTGTAGTGTTTATTATCTGGCTTAAAACAATTCATAGAGAAATTGGGCCCTTAAACTGTTTTGAATGTATTATTTAGTTCTAATTTGAACGTTGAACATACAACATATCTCTTATCTCCTATATCTTACCCCTATCACTAACCCCCTATCCCCTACCCTTATATCCCACCCCTACCCCTATATCCCACCCCTATCTCATATCAGATAACAGCGTAACACTTTTTTCGGTACGCTCTTTCGGTAACGCTTTATTCGGATATTTGCCAGGGTTATGTGCCAGAGCTAAGACATGAAAATGTCAAAAAGTGTTACGCTGTTATCTGATGGGGTGGGAGATAGTGGGTAAGGGATAGGGGGTTAGTGATAGGGGTAAGATATAGGAGATAAGAGATATGTTGTACGTTCAACGTTCAAATTAGAACTAAATAATAAATTCAAAACAGTTTAGGGGCCAATTTCTCTATGAATTGTTTTAAGCCAGATAATAAACACTACAATTTTAGCCAGAAACTTGACGTTTTAATATACCTAATCAATGTTTTATGGGGTTACTATTATAATTAAATGAATACAAATTTATGATGAGATATCGAATAGCCTCTTAACTTTAACAAAACCTATAAAGAGCACTTTTAATTTATTTATAAATGCATCTTCTTAAATATTATACTTGAAGGCTTCGTGTCGATGGCACTCTACACTTATTTAACAATATTCTCTTTACAAGTCTCGTGCGTTTTTTTTTAAAATCATTTTGGACATTTTTACTATAAAGCATATTTTTTCATGTTTGTAACGTCTGACGTCAGCATTTTTAGTAACTCACCCGATACTTTCCGTTAAAATAAGGTACAATTCTAGTTTTTCATTTATCGATTTCCACCATTTAGTAATGTACCTACGTTACCTAACCTCCTTATGAACAATAAATCTTAACAAACGCGTCTAAAACAATAATATGTCTGAAATTAACAAATAGAAACGTTAATAAAATAATTCTGACTGACAAATACCGTTGGTATTAATTTTTGTTTACAATTATAAACCTATTTGATTCGTGTATAGAGAGATACAACCTTTATTAATAAAATAACGATGGTGTGCTGCCCAGTTTATGGGTTGCCGTGATGACACAGCCTACTAATCAGTACATAGTTTATATTATAGTAAAATAGATACAATGGTATAAATCATAATAATTACATTAGTATAAAACGAAGACAAAAAATTACAGCAGTTGTTAATCCAAAAAAGTACTATTATAAAATTCACTAAGGTATAGGTATAAAATCTAAAATAAAACAAAAAAGTAATTATACTGTTAATAGAGTGGTTATGTCAATAAATAAATATATTGATAAAAAAAAAAAAAAACTAACAATAATATATGTTGTGTGTCAAGTATAATTTACGAATAAAAATGGTAGTGTATGATTCCTAACGTATCTTTCATTATGTCGAGATATATTCAGTAAGAATTAGTTTAGCTTCGATGCGGAGCTAGGAAGGTATTTTTTTTACAATGGTGTGTTTTTATTATTGTGTCTGGACGCACGATATCTTTTGAACCGCCGAACCCGATTTTTTAGGGTAGCAACTCTATAGATCAGAAATCGTTCATGAAAGGTAATTTAATAGGCCAACAATTTCAAACACTTATCCCGTCACCTTCAAAATTGGAAGAACGCGGAAAAATGTACATATTTTCAACTTAAAACTACGGTTCTCTATAACTTTTTAAAAAATACTCGGTTTAGTTTCGAATTGGTATCTAATTTTAAATTTGCAATATTCTTTAAATATAGTATTACTGGTAAACATTGACAAACCAAAAAAATATCATAAATCCTTTTCTCTAGAAGTGCTTGGTTTTAACTGAGATTAGTTTGAACTTACTATCCACGGATTCGCATTGAAGTGTTTATTTGAAAGTGGTTTTATCTCTTTCAGTTATAACAATTCCTGTAGACCTGTGACCCCCCTCCCTACTATGCCTCTACGCCACTGTACTGGCTTTTACTGGAAAATTATAATAGTTTTTATGAGTGAATAGTGTCTAATAATCTGTAGTCTCTGCATCCTGATATTGTGCTTAGACAAAAGTAATTCACAATAAACCAATTGTCGTTCCTTATAAGTGATCTAACGACCATAAGATCAAAAGCAAAGGGTTTCTTATAATCATGAAATGTAATATATTAATTTATGAGTGTTGTATATTCGACTTATAATAAAAATATACTTCTACTATAACTATTTCCTATTCATTTTATTACATAATATATTGTATAAACATTTGCCAGTATATCAACTAACTTTGAATATTTTGAATAATAAAAAATATGGACCTAACTCATTTGAAAAAATACATTATTTCTCTAATTTTTCGGATTGTCCGGTTAATCCGTAAAATTGGGATTTTAAATACAATTGCAATAACTTTGTTAAATTACCAAAGTTGTTATTTTTTTAGTTTATACTACTATTATAATATTCGTGAAATAGGCAAAATTGTTTTCTGGGAATTCTCAATAACGTATCATTAACAAGGTTTGGGCACAAGCAAAAAAAAAAGTGCCTCTATTCTATGTTCTAAATCGAACCCGAATAGTTAAAAATATGTACATTTCTAACTACACCTACTATAGTGCGACGATGGCGTACCTACTGCACTTGTTCTTCGTGACATTGCACATCCGGTACCCATCCATGAGATGTCGGTTGCGGAAATAATTTCACGCGAAAACGGCAATATAATTGTACAACGGTTTCCACGGGTGCCGTGTGAACCCCTGACAATGACTTCTATAATTTCTTAGTGGAAAAAATCGCCATCGATCATCTTCAACAGTCTTCGGTGAATCTGTTTTTCCTGTTGCCATCCCCGAACATAATATTCTGTCTATACATAAACATTATCGAAAAATATATAAATGTATACGCAACGCAGAGAAGGGGATCTGTTTTTTACAGTACATTGTATCTGATCCTATGCCACCGTCGACGGCACAGTAAACTCTCGTCCTGCACACCACATCATCGTACTCGAGTTGACTGCTCTCTTGCGATATTCACACACAATACAATAGCATGAGGGTCGCCAAATTCGTAAGTAAAGTAAAATAGAAAATAATAATACTAACCCGTTAGTGTATTGTTTTGTTTATGTTACGGCGTTTAATAAAACGAATTATTTATATTTAAACATTTTATTGAAACGAATATTACAAAAAAATCCCAATTACAGATTTTTAAAAATGTTTAAAAATGGATAGCCTTTGAAAGTTTAATTTTTGGGCCCTTACTCCATTCAAAACTTTTTCTTAAAAATGTTCCGCGAAATATTATAAGATGTGATTAACTTATTATGTAATAATAAGTAATTAAATTCTTGCATACATAAAGAAAAATTTTAGAATAGAATTTTTTAAGAAATTAGCAGCTTTTGAAAGTTTAATTTTTGGATTAAAAAAATGTGTATGAACTTTTTCATAATTTGTTGGTAAAATCACGTGGTTATGTTTATTGCTAATAATATTTAACAGTGGTATCTAATATCTATATTGATTTAGAGCGAACCACGTTTTTAGGTGGGTTCAAACCGTTAAAACCAACATATTATTACTATAACAGATGGGTCCCTCTTCTACTATACAACAATTATAATTATTTTCACTATGTTCCCATATGACTTAAGTCCCTTTTTATATTAAAAGCCTAAAATTTGTTCACGAATTAAAAAAACATAAATACGATTATCTCAAAAATGCGTAGATCTGACCTTTTTCCAATACGTGTTTTAATTTTAATTTTAATAAAAATATGACTTTAATAACATAATTATTTTATCGAATGTACTTAATCTCATATAACATGAAAGTATTTAGGAAATGAACATTTTTTTAAAAGTTTTAACATGAGAGCCGATTGATATATCAAAATAATACCAAAGGCCAAAGCTACAACTATATAGCAAGACTGAATATGATATTTATAATAATCTAAATTACAAGCTCAATAAATAAATAAAACTATCGTACTTAGTAAGTAAGAATTATGGTGAATATCGAGTTTTAATTTTGCTTTAAGTGGTTCCATTTTTGAGCTTCTAATTTAAAAATACAAACTTTTGTTCAAATACAAAAAAATATTATTTTGAAAACTCTTTTTCCAATAGTTTAAATTGATTAGCTATAATATGATGTTATGTAGGTATAGTAATTATTACAGCTATATTCTTTAAAATTTAGAAAACAACCAGAATTCCTATAACGAAATCTTTCTTAATTTTGGTGAAGTAAAAGTACCTAATTTACATTTGAATTTTGTATCTATGCGGTGGAGCAACATTTTTGGTATCAAAATTAGCCGAAGAAGTTTTTGTCGCTTATCTAAACTAGTGTATTTTCACAGAGTCTATCATTAAAGTAGAATAATTTTGAACTGGTAATACATTAACCACAGAAATAATTGAGAACAAAAAAAAATATCTTAACCTTTATTAAATGTAAACCATAATATTAATATATGATATATACAAATAGAATGTTCAGATTTTTTAGAAACTTCGAACCATTTTACACCATTTCTTATTTCTATCTATTAATTAAGTATATAAAATAATAAACCAAAGACCCAGTTTATATACAGCTAAATAATATGATGTTTACTATTTTTGCTAGCACACAGACACTTTCTGTAGGCATTATTATTTATTTATTTATACACTTTTGTGTGTATATAACTGAGGTTATTCCATGTAGCATGTACAGTTTGAACTTGACTTAAACTAACTAAATGTGGATTTATACTTCAAGAGGTCACCATTGCGAAAGAAAACGCCAGTCACAAATATTCTGACATCATTATACAATATTATATTATACACTGACCAAGGATAGATTTGGTATATATAAATGTGTTTTTTTTTTATTCGCTCAAACCCTGGCGGATCTCTATCGTTTTTACTTTAAGTGACCTTGGGAGTATGAAATTGACACGATGTTATAAAAACATTAACTGGACCTAAAAAGAAAAATAACGCGTAGATAAAAGTCAATTATTAAAAAAAATATCAGAAGTAACATCAAGTTACATCTGTACATGATCTGGTGATGTATGTGTAGCTTTCGTTAGCTTTATTGGCGTAGTTACAAAGTTGGTGGTTATAGAAAAAATATACTAGCTACATAGACATTACATATAGTTGTATAGACTTTATCCAAATTTCCGATACGCACATAGATAGAGTTACTTGATCTTGATTCTTATACATTTTTGTTTAATTTACCAATTTAATAGACGGCTAATCAAATTAAAAGTACAAAGAAACCACAACCATTACAAACCTGTCATTTGCATTTAATTATTCAAAGATGAAATACACACAATTATTTAGTATGTTTTACCAAAAAGCGTCTAATCGACCAAAAAACAAATACTCAAAAACAATAATTTAAAACAAAGAACATCATAAAATATTCTTACCTTTTCACCATTTTTTGTTGTTTTTTTTTTTTGTGTTATTTAAATTATTTAGTTAATTTATTATCTTTATTTTACTCGCCTTCTACATGATTTATAGACAATTTATTTTCGCATATACTTTATGACGTTTTACGTACTCCGGTGAATCCTATTTATAAATTAAACGAGTGCATTTTAAAATTTGAGAAACATAAGTTTTAAATACAAATTTGTATCTAATTACATCGTAGTACTGATGGGAAAATTAATTGTTTCCAAAAAATAATTTAGGTATTGTATAAAAAATATTATTTACTTCTCAAATGATCATGTATGACGCACACGGTACATGCGATTTTTTTGTTCGCCAAACAGACGTTATTCTCGAATAAAGTTAATATAATATGCTTTATCATTTTGGATTTCATCTAGTTTACCTATTTGTATTCAGAAAATCAATTTTTTTAAGCGTTAAATCAATTATGTTCGCCTTGCTCTTGACGCAGGTACCGTTAACTCAATGTTTGAATTAGTTTTTTAACGATAAAAGATTTTACGCATTTTCTTCAATAAAAACTTCTTATAATATATACATACACACACGGAAAGTCTGTAGCGCCATTTGATTATAATAATATATACAATAATACTCATAGTAGTAATCTAATAGTCTAGTAATAATAATCTAGTGTATTTATAATATACGAGTACACTAGTGACTAGCATAAACTAGTCAATCCACTAAACATGAAAATAGAAACATCTTTTATATACTGTAAAAAAAGTAAAACTCGAATAACTTATGTTTAAGTTTTTAAAAAAAAAATCAACACAGAGCTTAATGGGAAATAAAAACGCCAAAGCCTATTTGCCAAAAGTTACAAAAAGTGAGATTGGCCCTTTTAGACCCAAGATATATGTAATTATCACACTTATTGATATAAATTATGAGTGACAGTTAATTTAATTGGATCTAGTACGCGTATCAAATGAGCTATAGCTTAAATTCTACTTAGGCCAAAAAAACACTAAATAGTCTTTGTAACCACTTTTACAGCTCAACAACAGTACTTCACAATCACCAAAACTTTCCAACAAGTCTATATAAATCTAACACAATAATTTTGCACTATGATTTGACTCGCGCTTACACGTGTTTGATGATTATAGAATAATCAATGAATATGATTTTAGTTTTATAACGTTGCGATTTCCCGATGGGGCCGGCCAACGTTTCTTGGCACCGGCCTGACGTCCACTAGAGAATAATATAGATAATATTAATATTAAGTAATATTATTCGAGTATTGGTTGGGCGCACCGGCGACTTGCGGGTTCTTTGATCGCAAACATTCACTTTTGCTCAGCTATCGCACAATAATATATAGATGAGTCCCATATAGGTATATATTATACTTAGGTTTCTGGCTTTGTATTACTTTCGGCGAAAGCTGTGTGTTGTGCGCCTGTAACTCATAATAATATCATAACCCAAGAAATATTAATGTCAAACACTATGCGGTTTAACGGTTTGTCGATCACGAATAATAAACCGTTAATACATAAATATAATAGTGTGAAAACTTCCTGCATTCAATCCAATACATAGGTAGATTCATATAGACATGCACCTAGATGCATTTATACGTATAGTATATATTATACATACATACAACAAATTAACATTTCTAATTGCAAGAAGAAAAAAAAGGAAATATTTTCAATACAAAGTTTTTTGACGATAGCCCGCTTTCGTTTCTTCAGTACAGTAATCAGAATAGATTAATTTAAAAACACATCTGATCAATATTATTATATGTATTTTATCTATAAAGCGTTAACAAAACCTTGGCGGTTTTGGCAATGATGTATGCGTGTAGAAACAGGATTTAAAAAAATAACCGCTGAATAAACCTAAAATCGAGGGATGACCTGTAGCTCTTATGTACCTTTGTTATGTATATAAATTATAAATTTCGGTCTATTTAACGATCGAATGCGGTAATACATATTTTATAGTCAACGAATCGATATTACAATATTTATAAAATACGGTCTTAAGTAGCGGTTTTCGATCAATGCCGTCGATACCGCTTGACGATAAACATAACAATACAGTTAATCCAGAACGACAAATAAGACCTAACTGGTCTGCGGTAATATTATATACTAGGCGTAGACCATTCTAGCAAGACAAGAGGATAATTAAAAAATAATTAGAATCGACAAAAAACTATGATGCATAACGGTCGGTGACGGACTACTAAATTTGTAAACAATAATTTGTATTAATATTTTCGTTGAAATGTTTAATGACCTATATTGTACAGTCGACTCTTTAGACGTTGGTATGTTTCATACGAGGAAAATTCGACTATCGCGAAACTCTTTTAAGTACCTTAAAAAACTATTTTTGCTATATTTTGTGTGTAACAAAATATATGTACTTAACAAAACGCAGAAGCAGATTAGATTTGATTTCTTTTAATTCTTAGCTTATATTCTGTTAAAAATGAACTTGATCGGTTCGCCCAGAATGTAAATAGGATGTAGAAAGTAGCTTGACAACTTCAACCGTCAGATCCGACACAAAGGCAGAGCCGTTGAAAATATCCGAACAATAGTCATTTGACTCTAAGCTTGGGTTTCGATTTTTGTTATCTAATATCGATAACAAGGATATAACAGGGTCGACTGGTTTTTGACGTTAAGTTTGACCCCACCACAGACTTAAGCTGGCAAATGCGGACTGTGGCTGTTCCGACGTTGCGTCATACAACGGTTGTATAATAAAATCGAACTACACCCATTTTATTCGAATTTTACCATTAATATGATACTTCAGCACCGTTAATAATTGTTATTCCAGACAACGGAGGGTTCTCATTACACGATTCGGAATAATTGACCGACAGCCACCCAACGGTATCTTTTATATACAAACAATACTATGACTACCGGATGACCCATAGGTGCATTTATTATTATTGGGCATCGTGCTCGTTAAATAAACAACAATTGCGGTAGACATACGTGACAAGCAAGCCATATCGATGGTCGATCGGCGACGTGAAACTTTTAAGTAAGCTGTCAACGGTTAGGCAAACACCCTATCGCATTGAATATTGGTCAAATATCACTGTTCGCTACATTACCTCTCAGGCTCTATAGTGTGAACACGTTATATCGCAAAAATTGTAACTATAGTCTGTGCGGCCGGATTTGATCTTGAAAATACTCAACAACACACGAGATTATCTTTTGAAAGAACTTATATCGTGGGGAAGTCCTATTGGCTACCTATTTGCTTCCGGTAGTATTAGTTCCGTTTATCTTCCTAACGCTGTTGGCTGTTAAAGAGTCAAAAATTGTCGCTTAAGTATGCAAGTCTCCACAAAAAATGTAGACCTTTTCGGAAATGCAATTTATCTTAATTTGTTATACACCACCATTTGTTATTAATACCTATACCGTTGCATATGACGGGAATGCACTAAGACAATATGTTAACGGCTAGGTTTAACGGCTCTATAATATATAATACAAGAAACGGGCGCACGTGACATCATTGTTTCAATCGGAATTATTATAAATATTTTTTCACTCTTTTTTTGCTTTAGTATTCACTTAAAAAAAATTCAACAATAAAAAATAATGATAATAAAACCTCGATAGAAATACAATTCGCCGCCAACACCTTCTCCACTACAATGCATTATATACCTCACCTCTATGTATACATTTATACACGCGCGGGCAATGATACAATGATTCATATTAAACAGGTCGTCGACATCGTGTGTTGTGTCTTTCTTATTATAATTATTTGTTTTCTTATTGACGTGGAAACGGTACCGGACAGTTTCGACTCCTGTAAAGGGCTACCCACACAGTACATAGATTTTTATTAAAATAATTGTATTTACATTATAGTATATATTATATACAATAAGGAGATTTGGTTCAGTAAATGAAAAATGTGTGCCCAGTGTCCCTTCTTTTAAAATATTATATAATAATAAAAACGAGGTATCAACTTCCTCCGAAGAAATGGTTGTGACTCAATAGGTCGCGCCTCTGCGCATTAGAACTAAAACAATGGGTCTTTGAAAAAATGAATTAGTAATTAATATTCTATTCCACATACCCAAAGAATTATTGTAATATTATAATTGTTTGATAAACGTGTTATCCGTTTGCTGTTGACATAACACTTCCATACAAGTCATAACGTTAAAAAGCGATTTACGATGATTACATTTACCACGAAAAGTTTGAAGCCATGTCTTTATATACATGTCGTGCCAGTCTTTTGTAATGGTACTTTTGACTGTTACATATGTAATATATGTGCTCCGCCGAGCTAGCTTGGGTTTAGTTTTAGTAGACACTAGACTCAATTTTGAAAAAGATGATCGGCTGCATAACACGGTGCATCCGATATTGTAACAAATTCTTTAAAAAGTGAAAGGCTTTTTAAGGTTATACCCACAAGTTCACAACAAGAGAAGCAGCTACCTGACCCACCTTTCCCATACCCACGTATATGACCCTTTAACCTTTTAGGCAGCTTCTTTGACATTTGTATTTTTTTCAGATCCTGTTTGCGGCACTCGCAGTGACGTCGACACTAGCCCAACAAAAGTCCGAACAACAAACGTTTGTTCGGCCTCAGAGTAGAATTCTCACGCCTTTGGACCTGGAACCGCAGGAACCTCTACCCCAATCGTTCCGGAGAACCGCTTTGCCTTTGTTCAGGGGCCGTGGATTCAGTCTAGATGGTCAAGAACCCAAACCCGTGCTCGTCGGCCAACAGAGATTCCCAATGGAAGATGGAGAATTCAGCAAGGACGAAAGCAGCAGCAGCAGCAGCAGTAGTAGTAGTAGCGAGAGTAAAGAAAACAACAAACCGGACGGACAGCTCAACGTCAGGCAGACTATTCAGCATCAACATCAGCTGCAACAGCAACAGGAAATAATGCACCAACAACCGCCGCAGTTTGCCGGATTCAGAGTGCAGGTATAATTGTTTTCGTTATATTACCATTAGGGTACTGTAGCTAATCACCAAGATATTATTATGTTTCCTTATTTCCACTGACCGTCGCACAATCACGTTATTAGTAATTCAAAAGACGGACAAACGCAACTATAGTATTCCGAATACGTCCCCACATTCCTAAATCCGGCCCTGAGTATTCGCATGTTTTTGCAAACAAATGCTACACGTTTATTTAACCCGTTTAGCCTCCGTTGCAATTACGACCGGCCACCGAAGTCCAACCACATGTGCAGCCACCGAAGAAAGTTTACCAGAGGCCTCAGAAACGAGTGCATGTAGTACAACAGCCCACGGAACAAACGGCTGCGGCTAGGTCTCCGGAAATTGTCCAAAGAGTTAAAGTCGAACGAACCGAGTCTGAGAAACACAGAACGAAAAAACCCGTAGCGCAGGTAATATACTAAAACACCGAGAGTTAATATTATTTGTTAAACTCAACTCTGTCTCACAAGGGAACGGTATTGTATAGAAGGCAGAACGCATTACTCTTACATCGATGCGTTTTGCTTTCTGCGCAGTACCGTTCTGTTGTGAGACAGAGTATGGGTATAAGTGACGCTATATTTTATTGACAAACAAAATTCATATCTACCTTTTAAATAGCCTCGGTTAATAAACAATACAATATTATGTCTAACACGTGTAGGTTGGCATTGATGGAAGAAAAAAGTAGTTAGACGATTCATTCAATAGGCAATAATTATATCAAAGTGAAATTAAAGACTAGAAAATTATAGTGTACCTACACTAAATAGTGAACAATGAATTAATAGTTTAGACGTTTAGGAAACAAAAAGTAAACGTTAGATTAAAGTACCTACTAGTACCTATCTAAATAAGCGTAAGCAATTTTGAAGATATTGATTTAGATCTAATAATGAAAATCAGGCACTTTAGACTGTACCTAGGTCCTAGTTGCTCCCCTAGTATATTCGAAAAAAATAACGTACAAATGTACATTACGGTATTTGAAATGAAAGCAATACTGGAGTTTATAAATCATTAGTCATCAATCAACTTGTGGTGAAAAGAACAGCTTTCCATGTCTATTGGTCATGCCACGTCAGTTTTTACGGATCTGTTCAAATCATTATGTGTTCAGACTTGGACAATATGTTCACGACGTGGGTATGGCAACTATATGTTATGTAAATTCTAGCATTTCCGTTTAGACTGAAAACTGAACTAGTTAGAAAACAATAGTATGACATGTTGCCTGTTGGATGATAATAATTAGTGATACGGCCGCGGACTGCACTATCAGATTATATACAGGGGAAAGCTATAGTGGTACACGTACCTAATACGTTTTTCCCCTACTTAGTTCATTCCCATATAAAATTACTTGTCGAAAAGGAAATGCGTGGGAAGTACCAACTTCTCGTCTGTCGCAAGATAGAAAGAGCATATGGATTAATCGACCGACGCGTTAATCACAATGTTATTGTTATTCCTAGTTGTTTTTTAATCTTAAATAGACACGGTTCGGTGAACGGTATAAATCGTGCACAGAAAGATAGACTTGACCACGATGAGTTCGTTTTCTGTGATAAACTACTGTTAGGGTCACCCCGTAAGCAGTAGGTAGAGGTATATACTATAGCAACGACAAACATTTACATTCAACACCGTCGTCAGACAATAATAATTATTCCAGTTGATTCGATACGGCCATAATATAACCGTTCTTCAAAATAATCATCTTATAAACTATAGATCATTTCCAATGTTTACTTCCCGTATACACATACCCGTTATCTTCCAATAATAATAGTAATAATTGAAAATCGACAAATAGCTTCCGGCCTCGGACCTCTGTATCTTCCAACAGCGGCATCATACTTATTTTAAATATAGTGGAGGGCGAGACAAAATAATAATACCTAATAATAATCTGATCAATCGACGTGCGTGGTAAATTGAATAGGTACGCTTCGCACAACTTATTGAGCTTTCATAGGTACTCAAATGCCTATAGCGAAACAACCATATTATTACCCATCCACTCTAAAATATAAAGAAACTGTTTTTTCACAGATCGCGTTTATAGAATCAGATAGGAATGTCCACCAAGTCAGGCTTACACTCAATTAATATATTATTTCATCCTTGAGCTTATCTCTAAATTCCTCTACCCTAATCCCTTATTACCCATACATGTTTTACTATTTCATTTATTTTCTCTTCTAATCACACTTCCTATTAATATATATTAATAGGAAGTTTATACCTTTACCAATTTTTGATATTATGCTTATAGGTACTGCGAAGGTACAGCGACGGCAATCCGGACGGTAGCATCACATGGGGATACGAGAACGACGACGGCACGTTCAAGGAGGAAACTATCGGCGTTGACTGCGTGACCCGCGGCAAGTACGGCTACGTGGACCCGGAGGGAGTGAAGCGCGAGTACTCGTACCAGTCCGGCATACCGTGCGACAGAAAATCCGCCGGCACCAACGGAGCCGGTCTGACGGCCGTCGAAGAGGCGCAGGCTAGCGACACGCACGGTTACATAGATTATTCGACGAATCAGTACGTCATGGCCAACGGTCAAACGTTCAGCCTAAACGGTATGGCCAAGAACAGAGCGAGGAAACCGGTGCGCAAAATGCCAGTGGTACAAATCGCCGACCACGGTTCGTTCGATGGAAAATGAGTGCCCGATAATATTTTATGTCCTACGGCCGCCGCTCTAAGTCGTACCAGGAACGAAGTTCGCGAACTTTTTCAATTTGAAAAACTAGAGCAATTTTGAGTTATAGTATTATTATAAATTATTTTAATAATTAAACCAGTAGACTGTTTTGTAATAAAAAAAAAAAATACCAACAATAATTGTATATTTTATTTGTAATAGTCAATGCTATTAATTAATGTAAGTACATTGTCCATCGCATGTCGCCTACCTTCTTGACATCTGCATCGGGTCGGATTCAATAAATTAATACTTAGATACGAAAACGACTCAAATAGTTTAGTCCGAACCGGACATTTTACTTTAAAACTCAAATGGGACTTTACATAAGTAAGGGCACTTGTTTTATCCTCAATGCAGAGGCCGGGGCTGACAAGGTTTCTACATATGTATGTATATTTGTCGCTACTTTTTTGTTTTTGTTAAGACAACTGGTAGGCAAAAATCTAAATTGTATAATACAGATTACAGAATACTCTTAAAACCTCTGTCTCTCACTCTAAACGGTAACACTCCGTACGAATTCCGATTGTGAAGTGTTATTTCAATTTGAATTCAAAGTCTTTTAGGCATTTTAAGCACTAACGTTCCAAGTACAATTTTAGTAATGTAACACTATACATTAAAGAGATGTAAAAAATAGTATACATAAATCGTTAAATAGCAGTCCAAATTGTTATCCGATTATACGTTTGTCATACTTATGAGTTTGAAATTAACTCTTAAATGTAGTTTGACACGAATAATAGTTTTAAGAGTAGGCAATTTATTTGGAAAAAATATTGGCGTTAGTGAACACAAATTCAAAATTATAAATCTTAAATAATTGTATGTTACACAGAAACCATTAGCTGCATATTTGCCAAGGTGAATAACTGACTCGCAAATACAATTTGATGAATAATTTATTTTGCTCTTGCCTTTAATATTTATTAGCTTGCTCAAATAAAATATTATTTATACGAGTAGCCCATTTAGAAATACACAAATTATTAATTTAATAAGTATTATGCAAAGCTCATCAAATCATTGCACAATAAAATAAATAGGCACTTAATAGTTAAAATTTAATTGTTATGAAAGCCTCTTATTTAGAATATAATAAATAATACAATTATGTATATAAATATATATATATATATATATATATATATAAAAAAAAACACTGAATTAACATATATTTACTTAGTAGTTAAAACAAACTTGCTTAATATGACAATCCATTTGAGGCTTACAGTTGCTATTTCCAAAGCTACCTTTAATTATTTAAAAAGAAAATTTGGGATGAAATAAAAAAACAAAAAAATGTAATGTTATCATGCCGGAGACATCTCGAATAAATCGCAAATATAATAATAATGCGTACAGAAGCTGAATATAATTTTAATTATAAAATATAATAAATAGAAAAAAAAAGTACATATTGGAAAAAAATTGTGATTTATTATATGTCCTCTGACTGTGACTCGATTAAAAGACTAGCACCATTCACGTAAAATTACTATTGATTCACCAAGATTGTTTATTACAAAACTCTTACGTGTATACAAAATAAAAATATTATATAAAATATCTCTAATATGAAAAGATGATGTTTAAATTGCACAAAAATAAATTATTGAAAAATCAAATTCGTAGTAAAGACGACACAGTTTACTACATATTCCAGATACCACAATGAAATGTAAAATTAAAATATTGTTAACTTTTAACACTACACGTACGACAGCGATGACCTACACACGATTAATAAATTCTCAATTCAACTTAAATATAGCAAATTTGTAATCAAATGAAATTCCATACATAAAGTTACAACAAATGCTAACCCTATGCTTACAAAAATAAAATAATATACAAATTTAAAAATATACTTAAGACATATTATTTTCCTCGTTATAAAGGAACTTTTTTTTGTTTTACAAATAGTGCACTTTGCTTTACACATAATAATATACTATATGCCTTTATGAAGAATAAGCTGCTCTACAATTGATTCATCATTTAATATATTCGTGATAATCGTCAATAGAATAATGTGTATTAATTGTTATACATATACATTATCATTCTATATGTGTTGAATAAATAAACTTAAAATATTATAACAAGTAAAATTAGTATTGTATTAAATAATAATTTAACATCTTTGTATAATATTTCGGCCTAATTATCATTATTCAATATTTGTAAGCAACAATTTTTATTGTTGTCCCAATGACATTTTTATTTTATCAGTTAGTAAATCATAAATGTGTTCTAAAAAAAAGAAATTTGAAAAGGAAATCGATAAATAAAACATTAATATTTACATAGGTAATATGTATATACTTATTATTTTGTTTAGTATATCATATTATAAATAATTTTAAAATCAAAACTAATGTCAAATAATAATAATACAAAATAAGAAAGAAAAATTTGGTATGAGAATGAATTGTAACTAGAGTTACAATATTATATAATAATTGTCAGTTAAATATGTTGCACAGGGTAAAGTTTTTAAGTCAAGAATCTATAGTGTTTGCCTTTAGACTACGTAGCAGAAAGTGAATAACGTGGAATTAAAATAGGCGTGCTCTACGCTTGAGTTCATTACGACGCCACTTTGGCAACTGATAAAACTCAGCCGGAGACATTTGGAAAACGGCTTCAAACTCGGCTGGCGACATGTGACGCTGCAAAATTTAACATTAAGTTAAAAAATTGTTATCGAAAAATATATATTACAAATATTTATAAATATTTTATTTGTATTTTTACTAATGACTTACTTCGAGATTACATCTATCTACATCGGAAGGCAGCCTATAATTTGTAATGAGTAATAAGTGATAGGGATAGATTTTTGGAGGTTCTGAATTGTGATGCGATGAAGACATATTGGGCAATGAACGGTGAATGTTTGTGGCATAATGTAATGATCCGGTGTAAGTAGACGACGCAGGTATTTCAGAGCACTAATAAAAAATCACAAAATTTAAATAAAATTATACAATAAATTAAATAGCTTATATTATAATAAAATAGTATTACAAATTGAATGATAAAAAAGCAAGCATCATCTTTATGATATTTTAATAGCTCGGAGAATTTTAAAATTTGTATTTTATTTCACTCTTTTAATAGTCGTCTACGTACCGTATTGCCTTGATCCACTTCAGATATAGATCCGGCAGAAACTGCACCAAAACAGACAAGCAATATTAGTAAAAGCGGGCAATAGTTTTCCCTATAGATCAATAGGCATTTTGTAGTATATCACTTGCAGTTTGCTCATGAAATGCAAAATTTATTTTATTTAATAAAAGGCAACGTTCAAAGACTGATAAAAATGATGTAGAAACAATAGGTTAAATATCCATTTTTTTTTTTTTAAATAATAAGAAAGAACAAACAGCAAGTAAAAATGTTTAGCTATATTTTCGTGATAGAAATAAAGCCGCTTGAGAGTATTTATACAATTTGTAATTAATTTTTTTTTTTCGTTTTATCCCTTAAGTGTTTAAGAACATAAAAATGCAAAGATAATAAAATTAAAGCCCGAGCCTTGACTAACTTATAATTTATAACATATACTTTTTTTATTACTCTTCTTTTGATTGCATAAAATAAGAAGATAAGCTTTTGCTTACATGCATTTAAAGAATCGCACAAGCTAAAAAATAGGTTTTAGGAAAAACCAAATACTGAAATAGGGTTTTGTATAAATTCAATACAAACGACTCTCTAAAATAACGACTAGTTCAATCACCCTAAAATATCTATATACACTATACTTTTGGTTTTATACTCAGATTTAAATTAACTAGAAAAGCACTTACCGTCTGACCTAGCGCAGTTAAAATCTGTGCTAAGTGTTTTATTGTCTAAGCCATTAATGGAATAACCATCCTATAAAAATATAAAATAAATATTAGATTTGATAGTATGATAATTAGAAACCAAAAAAAATTATTAAAAATTGATAGACGTGTACTATTTGTTAGATAATGAATTAAATGAAGTAATAATTTAGTTAAAAAATTACTTTATTTTTACTTTAAAACATGTTGAAAAATAAAATGACACTGTGTACACTATACACTTGTTCATGTTGGTCAAACAATTTTTTTTATGCAAATGAAAATCAAGAATTCCAGGTATAAGATTGCACACAAACAAAATAGTTCTCATCATACCGATGGGTTTTTGATGTAGTATGCTGAGCTGAAAGTGTTTGACCGTCGGCTAGGCGCCAAGCCATAGCCAGGTTTGGGTACGTGACGAAGTGCACTTACAACTGTGAACATAAGAACAGAAAACAGTAGCTACGCATTACTTACCCCAATATAATTGGCAGGGCCACCGGTGAGACCGGCCGGAAGAGTGCACGACTTGCGGGCGCCCCTCATCATTATAGCCGACCCATGCTGACCATGATAGTATGCTACAAAAACAAATAACACACCATGCAACAAAAACCACAAATGCAAAGCCACACTTATAAAAAAAAAAACTTTTAAGAAATAAAGACTTAATAAAATAAGAAAGAAAACAACAATAGCTAGCTAAAAAGAAGAAGTTTTAGTATTTTAGAAAACTATTGCCATTCAACTATTATATAAACTACTATGATTTTGAATACTAAATTTTTCTTATAATCATATATATATCATATTAATCTTATATATCATATTATAATCATATATCATATTAATTATTAGCATAATAGTCTATTTTGTAAAGAATTTTTGTTCTTTAATGCTTTGCTCGTTTAGGTTTCTATGCTGTTGTATATGAGTTGATAATTATTAAACATGTTTAGAATAGGACTTTTATTGACCTCAATATTAAAAAAAAAAAAGTTATAATTCTACAAAACTAAAAGTATTATTATACACTTTATACATTGAGAGAAATTCAGATACACTGTTTTGCGTGTTCTATAAATAAAAAAAAGACACAATAACATTTAAAGCCATCTAGTACAATGTTTTCTATGCAATAATTAATACTCAACATTATAACTATATGTATTATATTAGAATATGAAATAACTGTATTTTCTTAAAAAAATAAAGCATTCTAAATCGTTAATACTATTTCTTAAGTTCTGTTCTTTTTTTAATACATTTTATCATGAAATTATTGATTTATAAACCAACCTTCATAACAAAATACCCTTTAAGGGAACCTACATGTAATATGCCAGTCTCCAAGCCCTCACTAACCTTGTTTCATTAAAAAAACTTATAAGAAACAATAGTATAAAACACAAAGCTAAGACAGTATGACTAACACAAAATACTATTTTTAAACAAATAACATAGTTAAGGGTTTTAGTAAACACTAAAAAAATATACTATAAGTTTCCCTTTGATATTTTACAATAATATAAATATTAAATTATATTATAATAAAATGTAAGCTGCTGATAAAGGAATAACCAAATTAAAAATTTAGTACGTAGAATTGGAAATAATATACATTTTTGGAGCAGTATAAAAAATTAAAAATTTTGCAAATACATAAAAGAAACGGAAATCCAACACCCATTATCACAAGCTTAAAAATAATTGTGAACACAAAACTTTAAGATTATTTAACAAGCAAAATAAATAAGTTAACTAACATAAATCGAACCAAAACAAAAAAGTAAGCATGTTTAACACTTTGAAATAATATTCTTATGTAAATAAACCCAAAACACAAAAGAAAAACTCGGGAAAAAGCTATAAATAGATAAAAGATATAAGAAAAACAGAAAAAAAAATGATAAAAATATTTATTTTTAAAAATGATAATTATAATAATAATAGTAATTATAATAAAAATAGTAATAATTAATATCGTAAAAAAAATAATATTATAAGCAAATAATGAACTATGCATATTATGTCAATTCAATTCTACAAGATAGCTAAATTTAATATCACACTCTGAGAGTTATAATTATAATACAGAATTGTTTTAAAAAATTAAGTTTGTATTAATATTTCATTAATTAAAAAAAAAAAAAAAAAGAGTTAATTTAAAATAAAAAACAAATCAATCAATCAGTTTACAATGTTATATTATTAATAATTATTCTCATTTTTTTTAGTCAGAAGGTCGGCTTTAACTTTATTTCCAAATTATAACTAGACTATAAATGGATAATTTCATTAACTAAAAATCCCACATATTGTGCTATATATTATCACTAGTGTAAATTACAACAACAACTTACTGTTATAACTGGGTATAGCACCTGTGGATTGACCAACAGATGACCTGTAACTTGAATCCAAATAACCATCTTCCTCCCAAGGTCTTTGGTGGTCTAAATTACGGGATGGAGCTGTATACAAGATAAAACACAATCATAAAACATATATCGTATTTCATTTTACAACAATATTAATTAATACCAAGGTTACGGTTTTTTAAACAATACTTAAGAGCTGTTGTAATTTTATGGAATAGGTAATTTATGTTCACAATACTTACAGGCATTAATTGGTGATTGATATCTTAGGCGGTAAATAGGTTCGCGAGCAGCAGATGGGCACCTAGATGCATTACGAGGATCAATGTGTGCGACCTTCCATTTCTGATGTTTTTCACGTTCTTGTACTCCCTGCAAAAACACTTTTCCAATACCCGATCCCATTTTTCTAAGCTCTTCTTCCTCTTTCTAAAATAATAACATAAGTTATATATTTTACCATTTCATATCTTTTGAAGATTACATACTTTCAATTTAGGATCTATTGCTTTGTCTTTCACTTTATTATCCACTTCATCTTCATCGTCAGATATTCCCTTGTAATTATCAAACCAAATTTTACGTTTTTCTAAAATTAAAATAAATTCAAGTACCGTAGTGTTATTAAGAAAGATAAAATATATTGTCTATAGTTCATTTTCTAGTTATGCCCTTACCCGGATCAGTAAAAGGACACGGTGGTGCCGGAAAGTCATCCCTCTCAATCTTTGGTTTTTCACCAGGCGCTGGTGGTTTAGCTGCTGGATAATGAGCCAACTCGATAGGTTCTTCATTGTTCATACTATGAGGTGATTTTGGTCTAGGCGTTTCAGAACGTATACTGTCTACAAGAGCTCTCATACCGGAACGACTGCCAGCCGAACGCAATGTTGAACACTTACTGCTACCGCGCACACTACCACAAGCTAAACAAAATAAAATTTGTCAAGAAACTATCTTAATAAAAATTATTTAAATTGCATACACGTTGGTCTGTGAAAATGAGGTGATGTGGGCTGTTTATCATATGGATCGATTGGCTTCTTCAAATACCCTTGAGTTGGCTCTTCTGTCAAATAGCTATATGTGTATATACGACTTATGGGTGCAGTAGGCGTCTTGTATTCTCGAAGCAACAGTCCTGGGCTTCCAGGAATATCCCGATAATAGTGCTGTTCATAATAAAATTGTTATTAGTCACGACTGGTTTTAAACATACACGATTCTTTAAGGTGGACCTAAACAGCACACATTTAGTTACTAACCTTTCTATTCATGCTATTACATGAGCCATTATAACATGAACCATTAAAGCTGGAAGCGCGAGATCGAGATCTTAAAGAAAACTGGAAATACACACAAACTAATAGATAAAAAGCATCTAAAAAATAAAATCTACTAAATAATAAAAAAAAATAATAATTAAAAACTATGCTAAAGTAGAGTAATCCAAAAAATTGTGCACAATATGAAGTCAATATATTCTACATAATATTATAGTGAGACCATCTACTCTTAAAAAACATAACAACAAATAATAATACAATTATTTTTGAAGTTCAACTGAAGAAAAAAAAAAGCATATCAGATGAATTAAATACATAGATAATTAAAAATATTAGTAGTGTATGAAAAAACATACCTGTGTTTCGCTAGCAGCTGAACAACTGATTCTATCAAACTCCTCAGGGTCGTTACAATGTCCATTTAACATGGCATTTGATCCTAAATGAAACAGCAAAATATAAACACCATACACCCTATTGTACTCCAGATGAATATGATATGAAATTCTAGTATGTTTTGTAATAACTAAGCTATCAATTATCTAGAAAATTACCTCCATTGATTATGGTACCATTTTCGGTTGGACTGGGTCCACAGCGTGGATGCCAAATTGCTCCTCCTGTAAAAATAACAGATAAGTAACAAATTTAAGTATAATAATATATACTAACACTTATCTGAACCAATTTACAACATTTAAATATGCATTTATGTTCATAATAACCTAGTAACTATTAACATTATACACATCAATACACCACATAGACCGTTAACTATCTCACAATTAACTGCAGCGCTGTTAATTGTTTGAATTCCTACGTATGCAATGATGTTACTTATTTTTATTTTTGGATTCACAATAAATTTTGCGACTTAACGACCTAACTAATATTTTTCAAGTAGTCATCATTAACTAAGGCCAAACGTTTAAAAAGTTCACAAATTCCTCTATAAATCAAGAAAAACGCAAGATCAATGATATTTTTCATCTCAAAAATACGGCTATAATTTTCTGAATAATTCACCAATTGATTTTAAATTTGTTCGGGTTATAGTTTAAATCTAATCCTACTGATCTGCAGTCAATCATCATCATCATTGTGTATATGTCATATTTTTCTTAATTACAACCATACACAAAACTACTAATACAAAATGAGTTTAAATTAACTACCTTGCAAATACATTTCTTCTCCATCACCAAACGGGTCACCACATTTGGCACATCTTGCACATGTAGGATGGAAGTGATGATTTTCACCGGCCTAAAATTTACAATCTCACGAATAAACAATATTTTGTACAATGAAGTCATTACAAAAAAAAAAATCGTAAAATCATTATACCTGCAAAACTTTACCAGATATAAATCTGGTACAATATGTGCATTTGACACCAAATAGTTTTTGGTAGTCTTTTTCACAATATGGAACTCCGTCTCTAAAAAATTGATGGTAAGTTTTACTATTCACTACACTGTAAGACATTCAGACAAACGAAAAAAGGTTTAATTTAAGAAATTTAAAATTTATAGAAAGATTTTTAAGACATAATACTACAAAACAAATTAAATTTCAATAAATATTTAATAAGATTATACCATATTTTTTAAAGTTTATCTTTACTATATTTTTAAAATTTAATTAAGTATAGCTTAAGTTTTGTTTAGCAATCTTTAAATTTTAAGTATAGATTGTTCAAACGACCATTAAAAATAAAAATGTTATGAGAAAAAAAATGTTATTGCAAGAGAAATATTTTTACTATATTGATTTTTATCACATTGAACATCTGTTTATTCCCTACCCATTATGCTAAGATGTTTATTAAAATTTGCAAATGCTGAGTTTACATTTAAACATAAATTTGGCACCCAAATTTTAAAAAAAACTGGCCCCTTGTTTATTATACATTTGAAAAAATAATTTGTGTACCTATTACAGTTTTACGTTATCCGATTCTTTTTTTTATTACAATTAATATTTAAAAAAATATAGTAAATTACAAAAATTTGAGTGTGTTATAATATGATATGTGGTTGGATAAATTAACAAAACAATACATACCTTCCCATGTATTCACCATGAAGTACAGCAGAGCAAGCATGACATTTAAAACAATAAATATGCCATTGTTTATCCAAAGCGTAAAGAGCTTGCCCATTTTTCAAGTCTTCACCACACTCCGCGCAATCTTAAAAAAGTTTTAGTATGCATAAGAAAATGTTTAATTATTTTGTACATTTTGTGGTAATAACAATATGCTGTGATCCGCTGCCCAAGACTCACCTGATTCGTTATTGGTGTGCCGAGATTGGGCCGACGCCGGCCGTTTTACTGGTATTTCCTTGCACTTGGAACACAAAATGGATTTTCCAACATACGTGACTAGATCTCCTTTCGGGCATGGTTGCCTGTAATAAAACAATTTAACCGTATACTATAACATGTTGCATAACAGTGTTGCAATTAAAACCCTCGTTCAAGTGGCGTATCTAGGATTTTAGAAGTGTAATTCTGGTACATAAATAAATGAGAGGCCTTTTTTGTAATAAGAGTTGGGTTGATTTGTTAAGAGGACTTGATATTTTTACCTCTCCTAATATATAACCCTCCTGGTTACGCTTACACCACTTAGTTTAGAAAACAAAAAACATTTACCTGCAGTGCGAGCAAGTGAAACATTGTTGATGGTAAGTCTGTCCGAGCACGATGACCAACTCGTCCTTTATGTAATCGTTGCATACAGTACATTTTTTGCCGAACAGCTTCTGATAGTCTTCCGGGCAATACCAACTGCCGTCTTCGGAGAAGTATAACCCTTGCACCAGTGAACGGTGGCAAACTGGAAGCAAAAGTAAATATTTTAAAACGAGTCAAATCTTCAAAGTTTTTTTTTCGCTACAACACAAAATATTTCGTAACAATAAGTATAATAATGCAATGTAATTTTACAACGACAAGCCTATACGAAAGGCAATTAAATGTCATTGCACCTTGATCGTTGATTGATGGCAACGACGGCGACAGCAGTTTGGTATTATTGCAACGGGCATTGTGTTTTCTCGGAGTGATGTGCTGCCCTAACCGTGGCTAATCGGCTTGAAAACCACTTGTGTGTGTGTGTTACTCAATCTGCACTCACCATTTCTCGGTGAAGTTATGACGTCGGTGTACCTGACATCATACTACTATTATCCAACGACAACACAACAAATTATCGTGTTGGAAAAAATAAAAAAGGTTTATAGCCCATCACACGCATCACCGCCATAAACGCCAACAGGTGTGACGCAAGTTAGGTTGACTTGGCCGTATAGACATAGAAAATATAATCATATAATTGGAAGATAAGTCTTTCATTTTTTTATGCGACGGGGTAGTAGCAAGAGTTTGTGGAATGCAAAAATAATTAATAGGTATACGCGACTATCTTTATACATATTTCATTGTCTACGCGAATTGTATGTATTCTTCTAATTATAACCCAACCGTTATGAAACATGAATATTATTTTATTATAATAATACACAAACAGTCAAATTTTACTTAGACTGCCTTCTTCATGGAAGATGAAAGATATAATTATCTCGATTAGCCTAGCCCGATACTAACACTAGAAACGTAACAGTAACACATCCACGTTGACCAATGGATGTGGTACAATCGCACAACTTAATAATTTTGTTGGTTGGGTATGTGACATAAATGTAACTAAAAAAAAATGTCTGTGGTCAGGTTCGTTGTTCATAAGATTTATTGTAAACGGTGTTGTGTAAGACTGTGTTGATGCTTTATAAAAGGTTACGTTAAAAATGCATCGAGGTATTCAAATAATCTCTAGAAACAACAAAACAATTTAACAATCAGAGATAATATTCTAGAAAATAACTATTGAAATTTTTAAAAAAACTTCAATAGCTTTGATGGTAGAATTATACTTATAGATTTGATAAAAACAATTCTTCAGAAAAGTGCATAAAAAACTAGTGCTCGTGGATAGCAATACACAAAAATATCTCATAGACAAGTCATAAATCGTTAAAATATTAACGCGACCCGATTGTCAGGAATGTTTAAACCAGTGACGTAACAAAAAAAAAACCCGTCTACATCTATTATCAGATATAATTATGGCGATTACTTATATTATTTTACTCTCGGTCATTATTTTAGACGCAAGAGTGCAAAGACACCCGTTACAGTTAAATTGCATAATTTAAAATGCATATATATATGAAACTTACGCGTGCACTTGAAGCATTCTATGTGAAAATATTTATCGCCTTTAATTTTTAACACTTCGCCGGAACACTTCTTCTTGCAACCGCTACAGTAAGTTTTACCTACAAAACAAACAAAACAAGATAGCAATTACTACATAATGTTATAAATATGTATACAGTTATATAAGTGTATTATGCACACACGCATACAATTTATATGAATTGTTGAATACCAAGAGGGTGGGTCTAGATGAACTATTTTCTAAAACAAAATTGTACTTTTTTTTTCCAGAAAAAATAGTGTCTTATGTTAAATGAATCACCACTTTTATGTTATCCTATGATACATAGAGACAAGAGAGATTATAAGAGTATAATAATTAATTACAACGTCTAAAGTTTTCTAGGTAGGTAATCTCGAAAATTGTTTTAACTTTGGCAGTCGCCATCTTGCAGACTGTTGAAACTCGGCCAACATTCCAGTAACGTTTGGTTAAATTTGACAAAATAAAAATATACTTATATTAAATCAATTTTCGAGTAAACTATTCGCTATCACAGTGTATCGTAACATTTAATCAATTAATATAAATCAATTTTACTCAATGCAGAGAATTAAAAATTTAACATTAATCGTTTTTTTTTTTAAATTTAATATCATATTATATTATAATCATTTTGCAAATTCGTTTTTGAGAAGAATTTTGGGGTGTCGAAAACTTTAACCGTAAATGGTTTGAACCAATAGTACTAACCCATAGTTGTTTTTTTAAACAATATTCATAAATAAGAAAGATATATATACCAAAAATGCTTTAAAACATAAAGAATACGAGACTAAAAGGAATTCATTTGAAACAAAGGAATTATATCTTTTGGCTAAAAACAACCACATCATACAAAATTGTTATTAATATGTTAATAACTAATATTCAATTTGTAATAAATACATTTGAGAGAACATTTTTGGGAGATTTAACTTCAAAATTTTAGCGGTCACGAAAATATTTCTTATTAAAACCAAATGGTGTCAATAATGACTGATCGACAATCCGTTTTGTACTTTTTGAGTGTTGAAAATTTTGAAGTTGTACAGCTGAGAAAGGGGAAATACAAGATTGAATTGTGGGTGCGGATAAAAATAATATTATACTACTACCTCAAACCTCTCCACTGTAAACTATAAAATTATTTTTACTCTAGAATTATTTATACAAAACCTGTCATCGACTAGTCATTATTTATACAGCCTACAGCATTAACGTTTTATTAATAAGTAGGCAAATCAAATACCACGCAAGTCACTAATAGAGTTTTAAAAATTAACCTCTTAAACTTAACCCATCAAAGCCCAATTTTTTTATATAGATTAAATTATCAGGAATTTGAAAAATTAAGTAAAAATTTATATATTTAAAATAAATTACGTTTAAAACATCTGATAGATAGCAATTTCTCTAATAACCATAGGGTGCTTAATTAAATATATTATTCCGACAAAATAAAATTATGTAATAAACATGGTGCATCTCTGCTACATGGGCACTAAAGGGTTAAAAATACAAAACGAAAAAATGTAATTTGAACATATAAAAATGTTATAACATGAAAAATACTCGAGTAAAAATTATATCATTTCGTACAGTATACTACCTACTGCGACTGTAAAAACATAATGTTATAATGTATTGTGGCTCGCTGGTACTCCACAGCACTAACGGTCGACGAGCAGAGCACAACCGTTCGAAATTTCACGAAGGCATTTTTATTTTTAACGCGCATCACTGCACTGGAGACGTGATACGCCGCAGTTCATATTTAGGCAAACGGAATGAATTAAAAACGAATAAAGACCGGCCAGCCGTAGAGAGGAGAGGGAGAGAGAGATATATCTTTAAATTACCGCGTATTGGGTTCCACGGGGGCATATTCGACCATAACGAGGCGACGCCGTTTGAATTTCAAAACACATGAAATCCACAGATTTATTTTTAAACACCACATAAGTCAATACTTCTGTTATATTGTAGGTAAATCGCACGTTTGAAGTGCGTGATTAGAGTATGTAACACAATTACCTGTAGTTTTTTTTAAATACATACAAAATATGCCGATAATGAGAGGAGTAACAGCGTGTCGTATTGATGTTATGCTAATATGATTTCAAAATTCAAATAACTGAAAATTCGAACCAAACGACACTACAATACAACACACGTAAGAATTTCGTACCCACTCGTTAACACCAAAGACGACCTTCAAATGGATTGTTATTAGGAAAACAAACACCTCGTCCAATTCAAATACGCCGGAAGCTATTGTGTGTTTTTAACGCTCTCCAGGCGACCATTTATACTTAAATACGCTCACACAATAGGTAATTAACATCGAAACAACAAATTCGATAATAAACCATTAAATATTTTTGCCCTAAAAAGTAATATATATATATATACTGTACAGTGTTTACAACCGTAACTGGAATCATATGCAATTTCTAATTTTTAATTAAATAAGAACCGTACGAACGAATATTTGAGCTTTTTATAACATCACTAAATTCTTCCTTTGTTTTTTTAATCGTATATAAATTTATAGTATTATTATATTATATGTTCCTTGAATTAAAAAATCGCATTATATAACACAATATGCTTATTAACAGTAACTTATAGTATATCCATACCAATACCAGTGATAATAATGCAACTGTGAGAAAAAAAGCAAGCAAATTATGTAAGTGAATTTACTCAAAGAGAAAGTTTTTGAGAAATAATTATTTTAATTACTTTCTTTCCATAAAAACAAGTAAAAAAGAAATAGGAAATGACAAACGGCAACGACAAATGACAAACCTATCATTAAAGAGATATACAAAAAATCTGTTTAATCATGGTCCCATCCACTTTAACACCTTATAAAACACGATTAAAAAGAAAACATTCTATAACCATTGGAGTTCTTTTCAATTTTTTCTTGTAGGAAAAACAAGCGTTCAGTAGTTGTTTTAGCCGTTTGTAGGCAATGCAAGGTTCAGTGTCATGTACGCACCTAGTTTAGATAGAGTTCAGACCCGTTTACTCCTTAGCGGGTTCCATAAACTGTGGTACTATGGTAATTATTAATAGTACACGAGCAGAATTTTCATACTTGTACAAGATAGGTCAATCTCCTCAGGTTTACAACGTTATATTATTATTGTAGTTAACACACACCACGTGCATTGTCTGCCAAAAACCCACGACAACGATGGCTTTCCCTTCCAAAACACATGGGGATTATAATTTGTAGTAATTATTTAAGGGCCCACATATATTTATTATTATTATTATGTGGATACCATGACAAGCAAAGCACTTTACTACCCAACTCTTTATGATGGAGACACGAAACGTAAATAACGTAAACGTTCCATCACAGGGACGCGACCACTGGTTAAGTCAAACAACATAATATTATCTGCTACACCCATCGTCCGGTAATTATCAGTTGCCCACAGCAGCTGTAGCAACAGCTCTGCTACAGTAAATGCGACGACGACGGTGACCGTTCAGCCATGACTAGCATAATAATAATAGCTCTACAGCTATAGCTATATTATAACGTTCCAGCGCTTTTTGTTTTGTTTTTAAAAAAAATTGTATTACCTAGCTCATTGTACCTATGTATGTTTTTAAACACGGCGGTGTAGGTAACAACGGCCAATTTTTCCATAACATACCAACGCGTATTGCAGGAGAAAAAAACATGATAATAATTATTTTTAAAAATCTTATACAACAACCATACCCGAATAGAATCCGGTATTTTGGAAGATGATTATAACGATCTTATTGTGGAGAAGATGAATTTCGGTATACGGAATCACAACTGCAATGTGATACGGATAATTATTAACATATAAATAATATTTGTCAATAACAAAAATATCGCCAATTATTAAAAATTAAAACGTATAATACCATAATGTTATCATACAATACGAATTATTATGATACTTTTTGTGTCGAGTTTTATTTATGTGTGGACGTGTGGTTACCACCGAATAGAAATAAACTCATATGCAGGTTATACTCGTGTAAAAAAACCAACATTTGACAAATATACTGCAAATTAAATAATTATAAGGCGCCTAGTTATCCTGAAATATTTACTTAAAACTAATTTTTGACCGTTAATTGTTTTGGTAAGTTCTTAGTCGAGAAGATTACAAGACTTAAAAAAATATTTAAGTTACCGTATCGAGTATCAAAGAATATCTTTCAACTAACCATTAGACAAATAGATTTAATCCGTTTCAATAAATATTTCATAACAATATTTACACTAGAAATAATCAACCATTAATATCATAAATTAACATTCTATAGTAAAATTGCAAAGTCCGTAAGTGTTTTTCGTCATAATTTATCGACGAATGTCTGAGAACTACCGAAGTGACCTTCGCAATCCAATTATAATATTCTCTCTCTTAAAAATAATAATATCATTGCACCCACTGTGGCCTCGTTGCGGTCGGCCCGGCACGCAAAACCCAAAATTATATTTTATCAGTGTAGGAAAACATACAAAGTAAAAAGGATTCGCCTCGATAGCCAACCAAATAAAACGGTATATATATACCAAAATTCGTCGTGTGTAGTACCTATATATAATGTTGGTTTCAGTATACAGGTATATTATAACGACACATGTATGTCGTCGCATATAGGCACAACATAAATCAAAATAATTGTTCGGGCGGTATACGTTGGGTGTGTATAGATGATGATGAGCTTCTGCCTGAAACAATGTGCACATGACAATGTCCACACACACACACTCAGGAGGTGATCGGTATGTGTGTCGTATATCATAGGTATTAATAGAAGCGCCACTAGAGCTTAGAGGTAAGGCTAGCTACAACGCCTACAATTTGCACCTAGTGGGTCAAAGGAGGTGGATTTTTGTCAACGTCTTAACACCCATACCGAAAATAATTTTCGTTTGCGCTACCAAGTATTAGACCTTAAAGGCAATTTATTTAATGCTTTAAGCTTTATATATTTTTGTTTTTAAATTTTTTTTATTACAACGAGGATCTACTATGCCTCTTTAGGCTTATAGTAGCCGGATACCCG